CCTCAGATGACATGAGCTTATCCTGTTGCAACGCAGAGGTGGAATCCTTTCCAGATTTTCCCACCTTTTGTACCCACTTTGGGCCAAGTGCCAGAGGCATGAATAAAAGTTAGTGTTTCTTTAAAAAAACCAAAAAAACTTTGCAGCTCTCTGATGGAAAATAAACGGGGAGAGATCACTCATCCACGTGTTGGGATTCCCAGTATATTCCAGGGAGATAGGAAGCCCAGAGCACTTGTTCTTTAGATGTCCCTTTTATGAATAGGCACATAGTAAGACCATTGATCCCCTACTGGTGAGGCTTGCTGACCTCCCAGAAAAGCAAAAAATCGACCTTTTCCTGTTTGGCAAAGATCAGAAGACGACCCGGATGGTCGGCAGATTCTGTGTACAGATCTGTAGGCGCAGACCATCTCCCGACTCAAACTAGTTCGTTAAGAAAATCCCCAAACATTGTTCCATGGGTAACTCTGGGTCAGCTCTCTGTGGTAGGTTATCTTAAAGTTTTAAGTGTCTATACACTTATCGCATTTATAAATTTTAAATTTATTGTTGTACATTGTTTTAATTGTTTGTTTTTCTTTCTGGGACTGTACCCCCAAGTGTGTTTTATAAGCTGGTCTCCCACCATAATAATCTATCTATCTATCTATTAGCATATTCCATTTTGTGTTGCCCAGGTCCCCCCTTTTAGCCCTTCCCCAAGCACTTCACCATACCCCACCAGCATCGGCCCAATGGATAGCAGTGGAATGAGGTCACGGTATCGCTCTTCGCCAACTGTATACAACTCCCCTACTGGCAAGGAAGACTATATGACGGACCTCAGGTCTCTGGACAATTTCCTTCGAAGCGAGGAGGAGAAGCTGCACAGAGTTCAGCTGGGTAAGCAATTCTCCACGTAAATAATGTCTTTGGCCCCACCTGATGGAGTATTCGTGTATGTCCATAGCTGTGAAAGCCTTGCCAGCCAGTTCCCGTAGATTTGTAGATTCCCGTAGCCAGTAGATTTGTAATCTGGGGGACTGAGTTCGCTTCCCCGCTCCTCCACATGCAGCTGCTGGGTGACCTTGGGCCAGTCACACTTCTCTGATGTCTCTCAGCCCCACTCACCTCACAGAGTGTTTGTTGGGGGGAGGAAGGGAAAGGAGAATGTTAGCTGCTTTGAGACTCCTTTGGGTAGTGATAAAGTGGGATATCAAATCCAAACTCTTCTTCTTCCCATAATTTCTTTTGCATGCTTGTGGTTGGATAATTACAGGGAGCACACGGTGGCGCTGTGGTCTAAACCACTGAGCCTCTTGGGCTTGCTGATCAGAAGGTTGGTGGTTCGAATCCCTGTGACGGAGTGAGCTTCTGTTGCTCTGTCCCAGCTTCTGCCAACCTAGCAGTTCAAAAGCACACCAGTGCAAGTAGATAAATAGGTACCGCTCCAGCAGGAAGGTAAAAACGGCATTTCTGTGTAGTCTGGTTTCTGTCACGGGGTTCCATTGCACCAGAAGAGGTTTAGTCATGCTGGCCACATGACCCGGAAAGCTGTCTGTGGACAAACGCTGGCTCCCTCAGCCTGAAAGCCAGATGAGCGCCGCAACCCCATAGTTGCCTTTGACTGAATTAACTGTCCAGGGGTCCTTTACCTTTTACAGGGAGCACAGATTCCAGTTCTCCTTCTAGCAGCCCAACCTTTTGGAACTACAGCCGGTCCATGGCAGACTATGCCCAGATGCTCAGGAAATTCCAGTACCAACCTGCCTGCAGGTCCCAAGCCCCATCGGCCCACAAAGATGAAGCTGAGTTGAGCTCCAAGCAGGTCGCTGAAGAGGTAAACGGAAATTGGCATCAGGGCAGTAGGGAATTGTTTCCTTCTGAATGGCACCTCCAGAACATCAGTCTTCAACTTTTTCACATCCAGGCCCACATTTAACCCAAACATGCTTTTGGGGACCCCCCGACTTCCCCCAATATATTTATATGGTGTTAGTGCTATGCGGGTGGCGCTGTGGGTTAAACCACAGAGCCTAGGACTTGCTGATCAGAAGGTCGGCAGTTCGAATCCCCACGATGTGGTGAGCTCCCGTTGCTCGGTCCCTGCTCCTGCCAACCTAGCAGTTCAAAAGCACGTCAAAGTGCAAGTAGATAAATAGGTACCGCTCCAGCGGGAAGGTAAACGGCGTTTCAGTGCGCTGCTCTGGTTTGCCAGAAGCGGCTTAGTCATGCTGGCCACTCGGAAGGAAGCTGTACGCCGGCTCCCTTGGCCAGTAAAGCGAGATGAGCGCCGCAACCCCAGAGTCGGCCACGACTGGACCTAATGGTCAGGGGTCCCTTTACCTTTAGTGCTATTCACCTTAGTTCAGGTCCCAACCCACCAGCTGAAGACCAGTGCTCTAGAGTCATTACAGTGGTACCTCGGGTTAAGTACTTAATTCGTTCCGGAGGTCCGTTCTTAACCTGAAACTGTTCTTAACCTGAAGCACCACTTTAGCTAATGGGGACTCCCGCTGCTGCCACTGCACCGCCGCTGCATAATTTCTGTTCGCATCCTGAAGCAAAGTACTATTTCTGGGTTAGCGGAGTCTGTAACCTGAAGCGTATGTAACCTGAAGCGTATGTAACCCGAGGTACCACTGTACATGTTAGTGGCAAATCACTACAAGAGCATGTACTTAATAGTGAACTCCATTGGGACTGGAAGACTGAATTCAGAGTAAAATTGCATTGGAGCGTGCATTTGGGAGTAGTAATAGTTGTTTACTATTAGACTCTAATGGGTTATTGATACTGCTTTGTTTGATATAAGTTGTTTATTTTAAAGCGATTGTGACTTTTTTGTATTTGATCTGGTTGTTATTATTGTTTGATGGTTTATTTTGTTTTTAAATGGGTGGGGTATAGATAAAATAAAAAGTTTAAAAGACTTGCGACTTTATAACTTGCTTACTATGTTTCAAGAAGATAGGAGGATGTAAATAATAATAATCATACAATGACTGGACTGAGTTGACATACTGAGACCATCTTGTTTTCCCATTCAGGTTTGGGCAAGAGTGTCAATGAGTAGGCAACTTCTGGATCACATGGACTCCTGGACTGCTAAATTCAGAAACGTGAGTTCTGCCACTGGCCTTTGAAATCAAACAGGTGACTTCTTGTTTGATTTGGGGGATAAATAGTCAAATTAAGCTAAGGAGGGATGGCTGACAGATTGCTGTGTGGGACAAACTGAAATGGCTTGAAAGCCCAAGACGCAGTTCAGCTTACCTACCTTTCTTTCTTTCTTTCTTTCTTTCTTTCTTTCTTTCTTTCTTTCTGCCATTTAGTGGATCAATGAAACAATTTTAGTGCCCCTCGTTCAGGAGATTGAGTCCGTGAGCACTCAGATGCGGAGAATGGGGTGCCCAGAGTTGCAAATTGGAGGTACGTTGACTTACATAAAACTTGTGGCCTGTTATCTCCTGTTGAAGGTGAAATAGGGGAAATAGCCCACTATTTTTACCACTTGGTAATATCTGGGAACACCCTTTGGACGCCACATTTGTTTATATTTAGAGGCAGAGTCGGGTCAGGTTGTTGTGATCTACTGGGACACTGTACAGATAAATTTGCATGTTTGTGGGTAGCAGAACATAACCTTGTAGATTAAATAAAAGGAAGTGAGCAGCCCTTATCATGACTTATCTTAGAACTTTTGGGGCTTTTCCTGTCTGGCGGGCTCATGGCCTTTTGTTTTTGCAGATGCCAGCATCAGCAGTCTGAAGCAAGCAGCCCTGGTTAAAGCTCCACTCATTCCCACACTGAACACAATAGTGCAATACCTGGACCTTACACCAAACCAGGAATATTTGGTTGAAAGGATCAAAGGTAAAGAGTCAAGGTGCTGGTGTGCATTTTGGGGCTTTTTTACGCTAGGTATAAATAGCATTGGTTTTCAGCAAGTTGCTATTGCATCAGCAAGGCCTCTGCACTTTGGCCTCTGCTAAGGCAGAGGTGTGGTAGTAGAAGGAGGGTCTTGAGTTTCAAACAACAATATTACAGATTGGCAGTATAGCACTTAATGGTGATCCCGATGAAGGTTTCCACAGGCTGAAATCAAATGAAATAATAATAATAATAATAATAATAATAATAATAATAATAAATGTATTTATTATTTATACCCCACCCATTTGGCTGGGTTTCCCCAGCCACTCTGGGCGGCTTCCAACAGAATATTAAAATACAAAAACCTATTAAACATTAAAAGCTTCCCTCAACATGGCTGCCTTCAGATGTCTTCAAATAAATCAAGGGCTGTCACATGGAAATAATAATAATAATAATAATAATAATAATAATAATAATTTATACCCCGCCCATCTGGCTGGGTTTCCCCAGCCACTCTGGGCGGCTTCCAACAGAATATTAAAATACAAAAACCTATTAAACATTAAAAGCTTCCCTAAACAGGGCTGCCTTCAGATGTCTTCTAAAAGTCTGGTAGTTGTTTTTCTATTTCACATCTGGTGGGAGGGCGTTCCACAGGGTGGGTGCCACCACCAAGAAGGCCCTCTGCCTGGTTCCCTGTAACTTGGCTTTTCGCAGCAAGGGAACCCCCAGAAGGCCCTCGGCACTGGACCTCAGTGTCCGGGCAGAACGATGGGGGTGGAGATGCTCCTTCAGGTATATCATTCTAAACCAGCTTTTGCCAACTTGGCTCCCTACAACTCCCATCAGCACCTTCGTCCAAAACATCTGGAGGGCACCAGGTTGATGAAGTCTGGTCAAACAGGTGTTGAAGGGAACAGCCCTTTTAGAACTATCTCTTTCAGTCATTGAATGGTACTGAAGCTCCAGGAACAGAATCTCTTTTGTTAAACCTTCCTCCAGTTCTGCCCCCAAATAACGTCCTGTACAATTCTGCCAACCCACAGAGCTTTCTCAAGGAGGGTGCATGAGCTCTTTCCGGTGGAATCGGGGCGGAGACTTCAAAGCACGGAAATGGGATACTGATTTGCCCACAGACTCTGCAGTAAGTCTTGTGTGTTGTCTGCCCTGAATATATTCCATTAAGGTTCCGTGGCTCAGCAACAGCGTTAAGAATTAGATGGGAACGTAGATTGCAGTACTCAGAAGCAAGGGTTATATGCCATTAATTTTAGTCCTCTTGTGCTTAAACGAGGTTACATGAAATGTATGACATTTGTACGAACTTTTCTGTTTGGATCTGAGCTGATTGCTAGGTTGCCTGTATTGGACCGACCTTGAAATTTTTTAACTAGTTCTACACTTTTTCAAAGCACTAGAATAAATTTTTTTTGAAGTGACGCAAACATAGTAAGTCGTTAGCAGACATTAAGGAGTTTGTTTGGCTTTGTCCCAGCTTGGTTGAATGTGGATTTCATTTCCCTCCGCCTCCTTCAGTGCATCCCGGCAAGCTGAGAGAGAGAGAGAGAGAGAGAGATGCACTTACCATATTTTTTGGTCTATAAGACTCACTTTTTCCCTCCCCAAAAGTAAGGGGAAATGTGTGTGCATCTTATGGCGCAAATGTAGGCTGCGCAGCTATCCCAGAAGCCAGAACAGCAAGAGGGATTGCTGCTTTCACTGCACAGCGATCCCTCTTGCTGTTCTGGCTTCTGAGATTCAGAATATTTTTTTTCTTGTTTTCCTCCTCCAAAAACTAGGTGTGTCTTGTGGTCTGGTGCGTCTTATAGAGCGAAAAATACGGTAATTGCTTAGTATACTTTTGCTTCTATATAAGTATTTGCTAGTAAGGGTCATATTCATGTCATTCTTTATTCAGTTGCCTGGGAACAGGGTTGTGTTTTGTATTAAGAAGAAGAGTGAATTTATGGCTTATTCTGGGGATATTTTCTTGCCAGTGATGGTGAGGAAAATGCATTTCTTTCTCTTTCTTCAGATTATCATGCACGTGTTCTGCACATACCTTGACTCCAGGCTACCACCTCATCCAAAATATCCCGATGGCAAAACATTCACCTCCCAACATTTCATCCAAATGCCTGATAAGCCAGGTAATGGGGCTGTTATAGCATTTTATGAACTGGGTGGGGCGGTGTTTTGCCCTCACTCATTGGTGATGGTTGATCATGAGAACAGAGGAAACTCCACACAAGCAGGGATGCCTCTGTGTACATGGAGCTCTGTATGCATATTGGAGCCTCATGAAACTTTTTGAGTATGGCCTTTAGATACATCCAGCAGTCTCCCACAAGCTATGGCTTGAGTAGCATTATCTTACTTTATATAAACAAACACACAGGATTGTATCCAGTGGTGATGCTCTGCTGACAGTAAGGCCTCCATCAGTGGACCGGGGAGAGAAGTCATTTTCAGCCATTCTCCCCCCCCCCCAAAGCCTACCCCCATCTGCTCCTGAGGTTTTGCAGAGTTGTTTCGGGGGGGGGGGGCGAAGGGGAAATGGCTGGATATTATTTCCCTCCCTCTACCACTTGTCATCAAGGGACGTGGGTGGCTTGACCACAGAGCCTAGGACTTGCTGATCAGAAGGTCGGCGGTTCGAATCCCCGCGACGGAGTGAGCTCCCGTTGCTCGGTCCCTGCTCCTGCCAACCTAGCAGTTCAAAAGCACGTCAAAGTGCAAGTAGATAAATAGGTACCGCTCCGGCGGGAAGATAAACGGCGTTTCCGTGCGCTGCTCTGGTTCGCCAGAAGTGGCTTAGTCATGCTGGTCACATGACCCGGAAGCTGTACACCAGCTCCCTCGGCCAATAAAGCGAGATGAGCGCCACAACCCCAGAATCGGTCATGACTGGACCTAATGGTCAGGGGTCCCTTTACCTTTTACCACTTGTCATCAGCCAAATAACTCCGTTAATCAAGGCAAAATATGAACTTGTTGTTCACAGACGTCTCCAACGAGAACTTGTTTTGCATCTACCAGAGTAGCGTCAACCCTCCCCACTATGAACTTATTTACCAGCGACAAGTCTACAGTCTACCAAAGGTAGGAATGCAGCAACTTTCCCACTGATGCCTCCAGGACAGCGGAGCAGCGCAGAAGAAATTGGGTGGTGTTCCAAAACTGCTAGGGAGGTGTCCAGTGGGTGGGGATGTGAGTCACCTGCTGTACAGGATATTTCCGTGGCATCAGTCTTCACACACCTGTTGAGCCGTCACCTGTCTTCCTCGCAGCATGGTGATGCATCTGTGGCTGGGAGAAGGGAGCAAAGTACAGTGGTAACTCAGGTTAAGTACTTAATTCGTTCCGGAGGTCCGTTCTTAACCTGAAATTGTTCTTAACCTGAAGCACCACTTTAGCTAATGGGGCCTCCTGCTGCTGCCGTGCCGCCGGAGCCCGATTTGTGTTCTTATCCTGAAGCAAAGTTCTTAATCTGAAGCACTGTTTCTGAGTTAGTGGAGTCTGTAGCCTGAAGCGTATGTAATCCGAGGTACCACTGTACTGGTCGTCTCCATTAACGAGGCTTGCTAGTTACCCTTCCTTATAAGTGACAATCCCTGCAACAAATTGTTGTGGTATGGAGTACTGCTGTTCAGGATTCCCTTTTCTAAGCTACTACATGACATTTCCCGCCCCCCTCCTGAATTTGCTGTTTCTTTCCCCTAATTGTCAACCAGCATGCAGTCGCTGAGTCTGCTTAGTCCCCATTGGTGTGTTTTCAGCCTCATCGGTCTGTTTTCAGCTTTTTGGCGTTTTAGAGGTAGTTTCCCCCTGAATATATTTTGGTTACTTCTGCAGCCCTGGGGGCTTCCCTGAGGGAACCTGCTGACCCCTCCGTCTTGGATGTGGATGGTGCACCCTTAACTTCATAAGGGCCCACAGTCCTGGGAATGAGCTCACATTTAATGTATAGGATACTTAGGAAGCTTCAGGGGGTAAAAACAGTTCACGTCTGAGCTATCCAAAAGTATAGCCGCTTTCGGGTCTGGGAGATGCTGTATTGTGCACTAGATTCTCAGTTGACCCAACCAGGTGTGTGCATAGTGGTCTTACAGAGGTGCAAGCGATTCCAGTATTGCAATCCGACAATATAGAGGGCAACAGCCCCTCATGCTTAGTCTAAGTCTTTGTCACGTGACCCCCCCTCCTGTTCACTCGGACCCCTTTTGTCTTTCAATTTAGGGCAGAAACAACTTGTTCCACACCTTGCTAATGTTCCTGTACATCATAAAGACTAAAGAATCTGGGATGCTGGGGTAGGTATGGCATTCTGCATATTGCTGAACCCAACACTGGGCTGGGAATGTCCCCTGAATAGCTTCTCTCGGTCAGTGTGGACAGTACCAAGATACAGTGGTACTTCTGGTTACGTACTTAATTCGTTCCGGAGGTCCGTTCTTAACCTGAAACTGTTCTTAACCTGAAGCACCACTTTAGCTAATGGGGCCTCCTGCTGCTGCCGCGCAATTTCTGTTCTCATACTGAAGCAAAGTTCTTAACCTGAAGCACTATTTCTGGGTTAGCAGAGCCTGTAACCTGAAGCATATGTAACCCGAGGTACCACTGTATATGGACCCAATAGTCTGGCAGCAATAGCATAAGGCATCTTCCTATGTCCCTAAACAAGGAGAAGTGAACTGCTCCCTGCCAGAAGAGAGGTTATCACATCACATTGAGGGTGGAGGGGGAGAGTGGTGGAATAATAATACTACTAATAATAATAAAATAATAATAAAATGCTATTTATATCCCGCCCTCCCCAGCCAAAGCTGGGCTCAGAGTGGCTAACAGTAAAAATAGCACAGTTTACATAAAATCACAGTCAATTAATTGAAATACATTCTAAAATCAGTTCATTCTAAAATCAGTTCAAAATCAGATTAATGGGAAGAGAACAGTTACTAGCCAATAGAGTGTGGAGGGATGGCAGGTGGAAATATTTAGCAAGAAGGACTGAAAATGAGCTGGATTTGCCCCCATTTATTATTATTATTGCTGGCGTGTGCACGTATTGGGGTGGAGGCTTGACGAACGAAACTCCCTAATGAGGGACTTAGGCTGTGGCCACATACGGTAAGTGGGAGTATGAGAATGAAGCCCAGTTAATCAAATAAGCACGGACATTAGAATTGGCTTCTGTGTATCAGTAGCAATATTTCTATAGAGTGGTTATCGAATGGAGGGGTTTAGCTTAACCCCGCTCCTGGTGCACCAGCTTCAAATGAGACTTTAACATTTTAAATTTCTTATTTTATGATGAATGGTATAACTTGCATGTCTTGATATGAAATGCATCAACTATTTTTTGCAGGCGGGTCAATCTTGGCTTATCTGGTGTGAACGTTTTGTGGATTTTTGGAGACTAGCTTCCAGTCCCTGTCGCAGGACACGTGGGGATAAACACCCCGACTTGTGTTTGGGAAGAGAACTCAGCAGCTTGCTGAACTTACTACCTTGAAAGCATGGTTTGGATATATAAAGCAAGACATTTGTTTTTTAAAAACTGTATTTGGAATAATAATGAGAAACTTTCAGCATCAAAACCAAATGGTTTCTGTGAATGACTTGACTTGAGGATCACAGTGGGAAAGTTACATCATTTCTAGATGGACTGAATTACCTTTTTGGATATCATTCTGTTGAATGCGACTGCTGCTTTTAGACGACAACAGGAGGCCTGTTTGCCACACAAACCATCTGCCTCTGGAGATTCATATAAGCATGACACCAAGTCGATAATGCATTGCTGAATTGGATCCAAACTATTCAAGTGAGGCTGTGTATTCTTGGAGGCTGCTTCCATTTTGCCGTGTCAGAAAAAAAGGTCACATCAGTATATCTTAAGTACAAGGCCCCAAACCACAGAAATACATCAAATCAGGTTTCTTTTGAGTCTTGGTTACAAAGGTATGTGCCTTTCATCTCTAATGCACGAGTGACTTTGTATGATCTACGTTGCCTTTTTTCTTTTTTGAAGTGACAGTACTCCAGCTCCTCTACCAACGGCACAAAACAGCAGGCAAACTTCATTTTGACACAGCCTTTTCTCAGGGCCCTTGGGAGATGTAGTATTTGGGTTGGTCGGGGTTCAAATTTCATGTTTCTATGGGATTCTGCGAAGTGAACTGCATCTAAAGCGTAGGGGTTTCCAATAGTTCATGGCATGGACGTGCTGCTGCCTTTCTTCCCCAACGCAGTCCGATAAGCAGTGAACTACAAGAGTGGAACATCACACTGCCATTGCAGCAAAACTGCCCCATGAGTCCTGTTGCCAAATAAACCAGTACAGTGGTACCTCTACTTACGAGCACCTCTGGTTATGTATCCTTCGGGATACGCATGCAGCAAACCCGGAAGTATTTTTCTGGGTTTCGCCGCATGCGCAGAAGTGCTCTACCGCGCGCATGCGCAGAACAGGCACCTCCAGTTGCGAAAACCTCAGGATCCAACCGGAGTTCCGGAACGGATCCCATCCACATCTAGAGGTACCACTGTAGTTTATTTTTCCTCCTAGGTTAAGACTGTGTGGTGGGTGGGAGAAGGATGGGCATGGATTGGACGTCGCATGTCTTTGGATAATCTGGTATATATATATATTTTAATGAGCGAATTCTGCTTCCAGTCACGTCACTGGGGCCTTTCCAGTCTGCAAACATCTTGGCTGCAGTTGTACTTCTCTTTCCTTGCAAGGGAACAATTTTGCTGCTCTGTGTGCCTGATTGTTTTGGAAAGGAAGTAGCGGCTGGCTTCCCCTGCGAAAAGTTCCCCAACCTTAGCATGTACCTCTTGGTGCCCAGACATTTGACAAACAAAGCTATTTCAGAAAACTGCACCCTCTTTTAAAGAATAGGGTGTTCCAAAACAAACTCTCAGCATAAAATATAATTCATTTGCCTTGCAACCACAGCACGCAGGACAATTTGTAGGTCTAATTTAATTAATTTACCGCTAGAGGTCTGCAGCCCTGCATCTCTTAATTCAGTTCTGTGAAACCCTAACCCTCAACATATCAACAGATCTTGTTGTGACCCAGAGCAGCATATTTTGTAAGCAAAGCTTCTTTTGTTGTCTTGACAAAGTGTGTTTGTACTGGATTTTGCAGGAGTGAACAGGCTGGTGAGATGGCAGGGGGTGGCTGCTTCTGCTTCCGTAGCCACTGGTCTTAAGACCTATTGCTGTGACAGCAGCTTGTGTGTTACGTTTTTCTGATCCGAGTCATGCTTTCCTCAGGGAGCTGAAACCTTTGTTGACACCTGTCTTGGTGCTGCCATTAAAACGTCTGTTTTGATTTGTCTCTGCGTGAGTCTTTTCTGGGTCCTTTCTTTTCCCTCTTTTTTGCCTGTCCTCTCACATCACAAAACCTGTGGTCCTTCGGATAATGTTGTACTACAGTTCCCATCATCACGCTGACCATTGGCAGTGCTGGCCAGAGCAGATGGCAGCTGCATCCCAGGAATCCCATTCCTGCCTTATACCTTTAGCTTCTTAGGCAGCCATTCTATTTACAGGTGAAACTCAGAAAATTAGAATATCGTGGAAAAGTTCATTTATTTCAGTAATTCTACTTAAAAGGTGAAACTAATATATGAGATAGACTCATGACATGCAAAGCGAGATATGTCAAGCCTTTATATGTTATAATTGTGATGATCATGGTGTACAGCTGATGAAAACCCCAAATTAACAATCTCAGAAAATTAGAATATTAAATGAAATCAGCAAAACCTCTGAGAAGCAGAAGCATACATATGTACTCAGTACTTGGTTTGGGCCTCTTTTACATCAATTACTGCCTCAGTGCGGCGTGGCATGGATGCTATCAGCTTGTGGCACTGCTGAGGTGTTATGGAAGACCAGGACGCTTCAATAGCAGCCTTCAGCTCTTCTGCATTGCTCGGTCTCATGTCTCTCATCTTTCTCTTGGCAATGCCCCATAGATTCTCTATGGGGTTCAGGTCAGGCGGGTTTGCTGGCCAATCAAGCACAGTAATCCCATGGGCATTGAACCAGGTTTTGGTACTTTTGGCAGTGTGGGCAGGTGCCAAAGTCCTGCTGGAAAATGAAGTCAGCATCCCCATAAAGCTCATCTGCGGAAGGAAGCATGAAATGCTCCAAAATCTCCTGGTAGATGGCTGTGTTGACCCTGGACTTAATGAAGCACAGTGGACCAACACCAGCTGATGACATGGCTCCCCAAATCAACACAGACTGTGGAAACTTCACACTGGACTTCAAGCATCTGGCATTGTGTGCCTCCCCTTTCTTCCTCCAGACTCTGGGTCCTTGGTTTCCAAATGAGACGCAAAAGCTGCTCTCATCAGAAAAGAGATTTGGGGATGATCATCACAATTATAACAAATAAAGGCTTGACATATCTCCCTTTGCATGTCATCAGTCTATCTCATATACTAGTTTCACCTTTTAAGTTGAATTACTGAAATAAATGAACTTTTCCACTATATTCTAATTTTCCAAGTTTCACCTGTAAGGTATCAAGGGAATCCTTTTACAGCCTTCAGCTAGCTAGCTAGCTATCAGTCTCCCATCATTCTGTCTTTCTGCATAATTCCGTGTTACTAAGCAGTTTATATCTATTGCACACCCATTAAAAACGCAAGAGCCCTGTGGGATCAAAGGCTCCTTTAGCTGGTGGTCGTCACTGCCTCTTGTGGGAATAAACTCCAGAGTTCCTTCTAAGCCCTACACAAAGTCGCTAGCTGCAGGGATGACTGGACAACTACCAGTTCTGTTTTACTGTACAGTGGTACCTTGGTTCTCAAACGCCTTGGTACTCAAGCAACTTGGAACCCAAACACTGCAAAACCGGAAGTAAGTGTTCTGGTTTGTGAACTTCTTTTGGAAGCTGAATGTGCTCCGTTTTGAGTGTTACACCTCCAATTTGAGTGCCACGCTTCCGTTTTGAGTGTTTTTGCTATTTATTTTGCGTTTTTGTGACACTGGGGAACCCAGTTCAGCTACGGATTGATTGTGTGACTGCAGTACAGTGGTGCCCCGCAAGACGAATGCCTCGCAAGACGAAAAACTCGCTAGACGAAAGGGTTTTGCGTTTTTTGAGTCGTTCCGCAAGACGAATTTCCCTATGGGCTTGCTTCGCAAGACGAAACGTCTTGCGAGTTCTTGCGAGTTTGTTTCCTTTTTCTTAAAGCCGCTAAGCCGTTAATAGCCGCTAAGCCGCTAATAGCCGTGCTTCGCAAGACGAAAAAACCGCAAGACGAAGAGACTCGCGGAACGGATTAATTTCGTCTTGCGAGGCACCACTGTACATTCTTTATTGCTTTCATTTTATGGATCAATGGTCTTGTTAGATAGTAAAATTCATGTTAAATCACTGTTTTAGGGATTTTTTAAAAGTCTGGGACAGATTAATCCATTTTGCATTACTTTCTATGGGAAAGTGTGCGTTGGTTTTGGAACGGACTTCCGGAACGGATTAAGTTTGAGAACCAAGTTACCACTGTACTCTGAGAAGACGACTGTTAACTTCAGCCTCCTCAAGCACAGCTTGTCTAGATCGTAAAGGCAGCCTGTAGCCCACATGATATGCCCACCAATTGGGTAGTCCCTAGGCAGCTGGTTTTGGCAAGGACCTCTGTGGTTCTTGGTCCCTCCTGGTGGCTGCCCAGTTCCTTTGGGCCAGTAGTTTTACAATACAACAGATGTTCTGAGGGGCTGAAAGCTAAATTTGAATGCTCTTCATAGACACCTATGAAGATATTTCAGGGGTTGACTTGAGGCTTGGTGTTTTTTTTAAGTATGGGTAATAATTGCAGGATGGAAACCCTATGTAAAGTGCAGCCTTTCTCGGTGTAATTTGCCAGCTTCAATCTTGGTAAAAATGAACCCCAGACTGGGCAGATTGACCCTTAAGAGAAAAATGTGCTCCTCTTCTCTGGCTTAAAACAAATATTCCCTCTGCCTTTTCCTGCTTCAATACATTACCTGCTGCTTTTTTAAAGGCTGCTACCTGTCCGCAAACCTTTTGAAAATCATCCAGGCTTCCTCTTTGGGAACTGCAGAGAAAAATGACCATTCAGTCTGGCTGCCAGAGTCTTTTGTCTCACTGTTTTGGTATCCTGGTACGGATTTGTACAGGGTTGTCAGCCCTTGAAAGCTCAGCCCCAGCAGATACAGTCTTGCTGGCTATACAGAAGAAGGAATTCACTGGTGAGCTCTTGGAACGTATTCTATTTTGATGATTTTTCACATCAACTTAAGATTTAGAACATGTTAGCGAGACCTACATGTAGCAGCAACAACCAAAATGGGAGATAGGTGTATGAGTTTGGACAAATACGGAAATTGGAAAACTACAGAAGCAGAAAACACATTGAGGTCGAAAGTGTCTGTATAGCAGGGCCCACATACTGGTAAATTATTTGTTGGCCTCAGTACCTCTTGAGTTTGCACAGGGTGGGGAGGTCTTTGGTTCACTGATCATGTCTGTACAAGATTTTTGGTGACCACTGCTGTCAGCCAGATCCATTTTGATTGCTCAGGTGTGAGATTCCATCTAACAGGAATCTAGCTCAGTAAGAGATTCACACCTGTAAAAGTGTGGTGATACTTCACTTCCCTAAATTAATGTGAGCTCAAAACCTGAACTAGCAGAAGACCTGTGGGTTATGCCAACACAGCAGAGATACCCACAAAGTGACGATATCGACAACGTAAACTTCCACCCCATCGTTCTACCCGGACACTGAGGTCCAGCAATGAGGGCCTTCTGGCAGTTCCCTCACTGCGAGAAGCCAAGTTACAGGGAACCAGGCAGAGGGCCTTCTCGGTAGTGGCGCCCTCCCTGTGGAATGCCCTCCCACCAGATGTCAAAGAGAACAACAACTACCAGACTTTTAGAAGACATCTGAAGGCAGCCCTGTTTAGGGAAGCTTTTAATGTTTGATGTATTACAGTATTTTAATATTTTTTTGGGAAGCCGCCCAGAGTGGCTGGGGAAGCCCAGCCAGATGGGCGGGGTATAAATAATAAATTATTATTATTATTATTATTATTATTATTATTATTATTTGGTCATATGGTTTTGACCAACTTGTCAGTGCTTATTACTCTTCTCCTGTGTATGAATGTCCAACACGTATCAGGGTTCAATTTGTGGGTTATGGGAAGCCCTTGTTTTATACCCCAAAAGGAATTGCTGATGGAACCAGAGCACATGAGTCTCCCCAGTTTGTGAGGAACTTGAAAGCTTGCTTGCTATTTTTCTGGCACCTCAGCCAGCCCTAATAAAAAAAAATACTACTCTGCTGTGGTTTTTGAACTCTCATTTTATGACTTCCCAAAAGCCGAAATGTGCCCCAGCCCTATGGAGGTGTGGGGTGACTTGATAACATGGATTTTGCCCACAGTTCTAGCTTCAGCCAAAGGGGTCGTCATAGTTGACAGTATAAAACAACACACAATACCCTACCAAAAACCCAGCTGAAACATCACTCCCCATTTTGAAGTTTAGCATTAGCGAGGAGAAGCATGTTCACAGCGGAAAATTTTCTTGCAACGCTTGCAGGGGCTCCGGGTGTCTCTGTAGGAAGTATAAAAGAGAGCCTTGTAGAGACTTAACGGATTTAAAAGGAGATAAGCTTTAGTTGATTAGTCCACATTTCATCAGCTGCATGAAATGTTATCCCTGAAGCACAGATATACATACATTTTTTTAAAAAACCACATGGTAGACAGTGGTGATGTGCGGCCTGTGACAATGCCAGGTCAGTTGTGACCATTGAGAATAACTGGGTGATAAATGCAACTTTCCTAGTTTTGCAGCCCTAACTGCGCCTTTAGCAGGAGAGAAAATCGCAGTCTGGAGAGAGGGAGTCCTAAATGGATATAGCATCAGACTTGCTGATACACATGATTGCATGCTGGAGTCTCCCTTTGTGGAAGAATTGTGACTTTTGTGTTAGCAGCTGAACGCTCCAGCTTGCTCTCCTGACATCATTGCTACACAGAACTATAAGCCCCACCAACAGTCGAAGGTATAAAGCGAGAACGTAAATAGCTGGTTCCCTTATCCAGTACAGCATCTCTTGCCAGACCTAATCAGATTCAATAAATCATTCACCATCAATTGGATTTGCACTACTGGCTAATCAGTTCAGAATTATCTCTTTGCTACAAACCTAGCCTAGTCCTAGTTCTTGAGAGTTAACTGTTGCAGCTTGAATTGGGAGATACCTTTTTCAGAAGTAAACAATAAAATAACCACAGCACTGACAAGATCATTTCTGGTGAACAAAAAACAAAACAAAACTCATCTGTTACAAAATGGAGCGGAACCCCTATTACATATTACAGCGGGGGTTGGAGAATAAGAATGAAAATATAAATGTCACAGTACCCTTGGAATTGAAACAGGCTTGGAAGCAGCACAACTCGAAGCATGTCTGCTCAAAAATAAGTCCCATCAAGTTAAATGGGATTGCTGCCAGAGATCGTATCCACTGCAGAAGGAGCAGTTTGGGATCTGCTTATAGATCTCTGGGATCTGCTTGTAGATTTACCTGGGCCACTTTTTTGCACTTGGCTATAGTTTGGGAATATTGGGGAGCTAGTAAAAGAAATGCCCAAAAGTAGATCCTGTAAGCCTGAAGTCTGCACACACCCCATAGCCTACAGGAAGGAAAGCTTGCTTGTGCCATTGTTGCTATTTAATGCCATGCAGAATGCTGCCATTCCTTAAAAAGGTAAAGGGACCCCTGACCATTAGGTCCAGTCTCTGGGGTTGCGGCGCTCGATTTATTGGCCGAGGGACCCGGCGTACAGCTTCCAGGTCATGTGGCCAGCAGGACTAAGCCGCTTCTGGCAAACCAGAGCAGCGCATGGAAACGCTGTTTACCTTCCTGCCGGAGTGGTACCTATTTATCTACTTGCACTTTGACGTGCTTTCGAACTGCTAGGTTGGCAGGAGCAGGGACCGAGCAACGGGAGCTCACCCCATCGCGGGGATTTGAACCGCCGACCTTCTGATCGGCAAGGCCTAGCCTCAGTGGTTTAACCCACAGCGCCACCCGCGTCCCTTAGACCAGCCATATTGCCCAGGAAATTCATAAATAACTGCCAGCAACAGAAATGGGCTTAGGCTATCAGACCAGGACTAGAGAGAAGGAATGGGGATATGTTATTATTATTATCTATTACATTTATATAGTGCCAATCAACTGAAGATCTCAGGGCAGTTTACAAGATAAAAAAAAGGATAAAATCTGCATACACGTATATCTCTGCAGAAAAAGTGGGCAGGAGAAAAATGCACCTTTGTACCATGAGTTGCATTCTAGCCATGCAAAAATCAAACCGAGTTATTATTTTATTGCAGTTCTATCATGGATAGCTCAGTTGGTGAGACCATGGTGCCGATAATGCCAAGGTTGCAGAACGCAAAGGTTGCAGTTTCGATCCTCGTACGGGACAGGTGCATATTCCTGCATTGCAGGGGGTTGGACTAGATGACCCTCAGGGTCCCTTCCAACTCTTAAGATTCTATGATCCCCTTTTTTTTCTCCCAGGAGCTCAAGGTGGGGTACATGGTTCTTCCCACTCCTCATCTAGCCCCCACAACAACCCTGTCAGGTCAAGAGACAAGTGTTCCTGCACCCACACGCCTCTCCATCCTTTATTCAGGCAGGCAAGAAAAGCTATATCACAGTTTGAGGTTTCTTTCTAGCCGGGCTAAAGCAGTTGAGAAGGGGGCGGAGCACAGCCAGCGAGGGGTGTGGCCTGAGTGAGAGGGTGTGGCCTAGGGGAAGGTCCCAAGGGCCACCAAGGGAGGCCTAGGGGGCCGCCTATGGCTTCCGCGGGTGAAGTTCCTCACCGCTACCGGAAAGGGTGAGAAACAACAGTGTTTATGGCCATGTGCAAAATGCATTCCCCTGGTAGCTAGGACAGAGTTAATTCTTGTCTTCTGCTAACCTGATTATGGATTACTTAATTTCTATACTGCATAATAGGGATGCAGATGGCGCTGTGGGTTAAACCACAGAGCCTAGGACTTGCCGGTCAGAAGGTTGGCGGTTCAAATCCCCGCAACGGGGTGAGCTCCCATTGCTCGGTCCCTGCTCCTGCCAACCTAGCAGTTCAAAAGCACGTCAAAGTGCAAGTAGATAAATAGGTACCACTCCGGCGGGAAGGTCAACGGTGTTTCCGTGCACTGCTCTGGTTCGCCAGTAGTGGCTTAGTCCTGCTGGCCACATGGCCCAGAAGCTGTACGCCGGCTCCCTCAGCCAATAAAGCGAATTGAGCACCGCAACCCCAGAGTCAGTCACGACTGGACCTAATGGTCAAGGGTCCCTTTACCTTTACACTGCTTAATATATTAAAAATATCTCTAAGCGGTGCACAGAGAAGTGAAGGGACAACAGACAACTTAAACAAAACGTTGCAATAATAGTGTCACGTGTAAAAATGTTTGTTTTGGGGACCCTTCAGAGTAACCCTCAACCCAATACAACTGCGCCCTAAAAGCACCCACATACGCACGCCTGCTGCGTTTGGCCCCATTCACACGTTCCTTGTACACGGGTCCCTTTGCGCGCGCAACCCACCGCGCTCCGCTCCTTTGCAGCGCCTCCCTCCTCCCACGAAAGCTTCGCAGCCCCTTCGGCCAGGTCTCGGCGGCGGCGGAGCTCGCTCCCGCGCGTAAGAGCCGCCCTGAGGACTGGCGCCTTTAAAAAGCCAAGCGCGCGCCGAGGAGAGCGCACGCTTTGCGCAGCGAGAAAAAGGAGAGGCGGCGCTCGCTGCCCCACCGCGCCGCCTGCCTGCCTGCCTGCCCCCCCCCGACCCCCAGCCCCACCTCCTCCTTGGGGCTGGACCCAGACCCACCCCCGGCACGTGCTGGACTCGCCCGGGGAAGCGGAGCTCGGAGAGGCGCCCGCGGTCAGTAGCGCGCCGGAGCGCAGCGCTGGAGGCGGTGGCGAACCCGGAGCCGGTTTGCGCGGCGATGTCGGCGGACGCGGATCACGCGCGCAGGCGGAGGCACACGCACGACAACTGCGGTGAGGGGTCGCTTATCTTCCGTGGGGAAGGGGGCGAAGTAGGGGCCGGGCAGGAGCATCTCCCCTAGAGGAGGAGGAGAAACAGCTCTCCAGATTTTTTAAATAGTTATCCTTTATTACGCATAGCTCTCCAGATTTTCATGGGCTTTTTTGGAGAGGTCTTTTTGCCAGCCCCACCCGGGGATCGAACTGGCGACCTTTGGCATGCAAAGCAAGGGGTTGCACACTGAAGGAGCGATGACCCTCGAGTAGCAGAGCTGCGGATAATATAGAATTGGAAGGGACCCCGAGGGTCATCTAGTCCAACCCCCTGCGACGCAGAAATCATTTGCCCAAAGTCGGGCTTGAACCCACAACCCTGAGATTAATATTGTGCACGTGTGTACGTCTGTATTGCTGGTTTAGGTTTCACAAAGCACCTTGAGAAGGCGTTTAGCTTTAAAGGTGGCATAAAAATATTTTTAAAGTCTTCTTCTTCCGCGATCACTCCTAGCCGAGTAAGATTGTCTTCCATAAACACGGTTTTAACAGTGAGTCCGTAAGTGACTGACTGTGGAGACCAATTCTGGACCCATAGGTCCTTCCACAATGGGGACATAGGTTTCCGGGCGGGATTTGATCACGGTGAGGGTTTGCCAAACGTAGCTTCCTCTTAGCATGTTTCTCCCTTGCGTCCTGAGTTCAAGTGTCTTCAAAGCCATGACACCTTTGGTCAAGGCTGTTCTCCAACTGGAGCGCTCGCAGGCCAGTGTTTCCCAATTATTGGTGTTTATACTACATTTTTTTTAGATTTGCCTTGAGACAGTCTTTATACCTCTTTTGTTGACCACCAGCATTACACTTTCCATTTTTAAGTTTGGAAAAGTGTAGTGTAATAATTCTAAATGCAGCTTTTAAAATAAATTTGCATTGTGAAGCTAGAACGGACTCCCTCTGGAGATTGTGGACTCTCTTTCCTTGGTGGTTTTAAAGTAGAGTTTGGATGGCAAGCTGTCATGGATGCTTTAGCCGAGAGGTGGACTGGATGACCCTTGTAAGGTTACCAGATTTTTTTTATGAATCCGGGGACACTTAGAATCATAGAATCATAGAGTTGGAAGAGACCACAAGGGCTATCAAGTCCAACCCCCTGCCAAGCAGGAAACACCATCAGAGCACTCCTGACATATGGTTGTCAAGCCTCTGCTTAAAGACCTCCAAAGAAGGAGACTCCACCACACTCCTTGGCAGCAAATTCCACTGTCGAACAGCTCTTACTGTCAGGAAGTTCTTCCTAATGTTTAGGTGGAATCTTCTTTCTTGTAGTTTGGATCCATTGCTCCATGTCCGCTTCTCTGGAGCAGCAGAAAACAACCTTTCTCCCTTCTCTATGTGACATCCTTTTATATATTTGAACATGGCTATCATATCACCCCTTAACCTCCTCTTCTCCAGGCTAAACATGCCCAGCTCCCTTAGCCGTTCCTCATAAGGCATCGTTTCCAGGCCTTTGACCATTTTGGTTGCCCTCCTCTGGACACATTCCAGTTTGTCAGTGTCCTTCTTGAACTGTGGTGCCCAGAACTGGACACAGTACTCCAGGTGAGGTCTGACCAGAGCAGAATACAGTGGCACTATTACTTCCCTTGATCTAGATGCTATACTCCTATTGATGCAGCCCAGAATTGCATTGGCTTTTTTAGCTGCCGCGTCACACTGTTGGCTCATGTCAAGTTTGTGGTCAACCAAGACTCCTAGATCCTTTTCACATGTACTGCTCTCAAGCCAGGTGTCACCCATCTTGTATTTGTGCTTCTCATGTTTTTTGCCCAAGTGCAATACTTTACATTTCTCCCTGTTAAAATTCATCTTGTTTAAATAGATAGATAGATAGATAGATAGATAGTTCGGGACGTTGATGCTGCAGCGATGGCGGTGGCAGAGGGGCAGCTGCCGCCTTGACCTCAACCCCCTTCCTCCGAGGCTTCTGTCGCCTTTCTCCCTGAGCCTGGGCAGCCCCTGAGTTGTGGGTTTTTTGGTGGTGGTGGTGGGGAAGCTGTGTGCGGTGGGTCAGGCATGGAAGGCGGAGAAGGAGGGCCGAGAGCGGTGGCTGTGGCGAGGTTCGGGCAACGCGTTGCCTCCCTTCTCATCAGAGCAGCCCCAATCCCATTCCTACTTGTGTGCAAACAGGAAAGGGCAGTGAACCCTCAGCTGGGAAGGGAGGCTTCACACTGCATTTTGGAGCAGCCCCAATCCCATTCCTACTTTCGTGCAAGCAGGAGGGGGCAGGGATCCCTCAGCTGGGAAGCAAGACTTCACACTGCCTTTTGGAGCTGAGGGCCTCATCAAACCGAAATCCGGCCCTGCCTTTATCCCATCTTAAAATGGGGCATGCGAGTGTCAAACGATGCTAGCCGGGCCAGAGAACGAGGGTCCTCTTAAGGCAGGCTTCCTCAACCTCGGCCCGCCAGGTGTTTTGAGACTACAATTCCCATCATCCCTGACCGCTGGTCCTGTTAGCTAGGGAGCATCGGAGTTGTAAGCCAAAAACATCTGGAGGACTGAGGTTGAGGAAGCCTGTCTTAAGGGATGGGTAGGCAAACTAAGGCCCGGGGGCCGGATGCGACCGAATTGCCTTCTAAATCCGGCCCACGGGACGGTCTGGGAATCAGCGTGTTTTTACATGAGTAGAATGTGTCCTTTATTTAAAATGCATCTTTGGGTTATTTGTAGGGCATAGGAATTCATTCATTCCCCCCCACAAAATATAGTCCAGCCCCCCACAAGGTCTGAGGGACAGTGGACTGTGCCCCTGCTGAAAAAGTTTACTGACCCCTGTCTTAAGGCATTTTGTGCAAAGTCCCTCACCTGCTGCTCTTTCTGCCCGTAGCGGTCCGGAGGATTGAAGGGTAATTAAGATTTCAGATTTGAAATGCTGGAAAGATGAGATCACCCTGCTGCCCATTGATCCAGCCAATCGCCCTGAATTCTTGGGGATTAGCGGACCTTGGCATTTCAAAGAGGGCGAGATAAATGGATGGAGGATAACGCTATCACTGTGGCTACTGGCCACAGGCAGTAGGGCTCTGAAAAATACTATTTGCTGGGAATTCCTAGTGGGGAAAGTGAGCTGTTGCGGTCAGATCCTGCCCATTGAAGCATCTGGTTGGCCGCTGTGAGAACAGGATGCTGGGCTAGACAGGCCTGATCCAGCTTGTAGGATTCTTCTTCTGTTCTTATTTAAAGCAGAGCATCCATGAGGTTTAGCTCGGTCGATAGAGCATGAGACTCTTAACTTGCAGGTTGTGGGTTCGAATCCCACATTGGGCGAAAGATTCCTGCATCGCAGGGGGTTGGGCTAGATGACCCTCGTGGCCCCGTCTTCCATTCTGTGATTCTGTATCCTGCTTCTAGAAGCCAGACAGCACAGGGAATTAAGGGAGAAGTTGCATTCGTTGCTTCACAACAGAGCCCAAGCTCTTGGAGCCGAAAGCACTCGTTTTTTCCCCATCTTCCAGAGTTGCCAGATAAAATCAGGTTTTATCTTGATAGCCTTTGACCCTAAATTCTTCCATTGTCTTGTCTCCTCCTGCACCTCCTTAAAAAGAAAATTCTGGGTCACCAACAGGGCCTCTTTCACGGCCTTGGTGGATAAGATCGTGTTTGCGTTGCGATTGCGTGGGGCTCTGCACGTCTCTGCCTCAAACCCTCACCTTGCGGGGGAAGCAAGTTCCCACCCATTTCAAGCTGAAACTACAACTCATTGGGCAGAAAACTCGGAGGCTGACAGTAGGGGGCGCTAAAGCCAATAGCACCATCTACGTCAGGCATAGGCAAACTCGGCCCTCCAGAGGTTTTGGGACTACAACTCCCATCATCCCTGACCACTGGTCCTGTTAGCTAGGGATGATGGGAGTTGTAGTCCCAAAATGTCTGGGGGGCTGAGTTTGCCTATGCCTGATCTATGTCGTGCATTGAAAGCAGCATCTTACCACTTTAAACAGCCATGGCTCTCCCCGCAAGCATTCTGGGAACGGTAGTTTTCTAAGAGTGGTTAGGAGAACCCATTTTCTCCCTCTTAGCAGACCTGAGATTTCCAGAGTGCTTTAGCAACCAATCCCTCTTCCCAGGGTGCTCTGGGAGTTGTAGTTCTGCGAAGGGAGTAGGGGTCTTGTGTTAACGCTCGGCAGCTTTTTAACAAACTACAGCTCCCAGGATTCCTTGGGGGAAGCCATGGCAGTGATGGGATGATACTTTCAATGTATGGTTCAGATGGGAGCCTTAGTTGTGTTCATTCATTTCAGCTCACCTACTCCTAGTGAAAAAGGGATGCGGGTGGCGCTGTGGGTTAAACCACAGAGCCTAGGGCTTGCTGATCAGAAGGTCGGCGGTTTGAATCCCTGCGACGGGGTGAGCTCCTGTTTCTCGGTCCCTGCTCCTGCCAACCAAGCAGTTCGAAAGCATGTCAGAGTGCAAGTAGATAAGTAGGTACCGCTCTGGCAGAAAGGTAAACGGCGTTTCCATGCGCTGCTCTGGTTTGCCAGAAGCGGCTTAGTCCTGCTGGCCACATGACCCGGAAGCTGTATGCCGGCTCCCTCGGCCAGGAAAGTGAGATGAGCGCCGCAACCCCAGAGTCATCCGCGACTGGACCTAATGATCAGGGGTCCCTTTACCTTTACCTTACTCCTAGTGAAACTTAGTTGAATATGACCTGATGTTTTCATTTCTGTTCCTGGGATGTGTTTTTCTATTCTCTGCAATGGCTGGCAGCAGCTGTCCTGGGTTCCAAACGAGGGTCTCTCTCCCAGACCTACCCTTTGATCGAAGCTGGGGCCTTCTGCATGTGGGGCACACGCTCTGGGTCAGGAGCGAGCCCCACCCTTGCTGGGAGACCAGGGAGAAGACATTCCAGGTTGCTGTGACTCCCAGCAGCCTCGTTTCACATGGCTGATGGCCAGGGATGCTGTGAGCTGTAGTGCAAACACTTCTGGAGGGCATCAGGTTGGGAAAGGCTGCTCTAGGCTTCGGGGCAGGGAGCTAATGCATGGAGAGGCAAACTTGTTGTTGTTTAGTTGTTTAGTCGTGTCCGACTCTTCGTGACCCCCTGGACCAGAGCACACCAGGCACTCCTGTCTTCCACTGCCTCCCGCAGTTTGGTTAAACTCATGTTCGTAGCTTCGAGAACACTGTCCCACCATCTCGTCCTCTGTTGTCCCCTTCTCCTTGTGCCCTCCATCTTTCCCAACACCAGGGTCTTTTCCAAGGAGTCTTGTCTTCTCATGAGGTGGCCAAAGTATTGGAGCCTCAGCTTCAGGATCTGTCCTTCCAGTGAGCACTCTGGGCTGATTCCCTTCAGAATGGAGAGGTTTGATCTTCTTGCAGTCCATGGGACTCTCAAGAGTCTCCTCCAGCACCAGAATTCAAAAGCATCCATTCTTCGGCGATCAGCCTTCTTTATGGTCCAGCTCTCACTTCCATACATCACTACTGGGAAAACCATAGCTTGAACTAGACAGACCTTTGTTGGCAAGGTGATGTGTCTGCTTTTTAAGATGCTGTTTAGGTAGGCAAACTAAGGCCTTCTAAATCTGGCCTGGGGACAGTCTGGGAATCAGCGTGTTTTTACATGAGTAGAATGTGTCCTTTTATTTCAAATGCATCTCTGGGTTATTTGTGGGGCATAGGAATTGGTTCATTTCCACCCCAGAATTAGAGTCCGGCCCCCCACAAGGTCTGAGGGACAGTGGACCGGCCCCCTGCTTTAAAAGTTTGCTGACCCCTGAGCTAACGCATCACGTCCCTTGGTTTCCCTGTGGGGGTGTGGGGGTGGTGATGATTCCCTCTCTCCTCCCTCCTTCCTTTGTTGATGTTCATCCCAAGACGTCTTAAGGCTCCGAGACGGTTAAGCTGCCCTTAATCTCTCAGTGGTGTCTAATTGATTGCCTTGGTGCGCATCATGTGAGCCCCGCACCCCACGGGCTGCGCATAATTCTCCTCGCCATCATCTGATGATTGCGCCAGTCCCTTGGTGTCAGGTGGCAAGTCCGTTAGCTTTCCGTGGGGCTGTGATTTCACGGCGCCGCAAGCATTTTGCTCGCTACAGGCCTTACAACTCCCTGGTCCTGAATGGGGTAACTGTGCCCCTGAAGGACCAGGTGCGCAGGCTGGGAGTCATTTTGGACTCACAGCTGTCCATGGAGACGCAGGTCAATTCTGTATCCAGGGCAGCTGTTTACCAGCTCCATCTGGAATGCAGGATGAGACCCTCCCTGCCCGCAGACTGTCTCGCCAGAGTGGTGCATGCTCTGGTTATCTCCTGCTTGCACTACCGCAATGCGCTCTACGTGGGGCTACCTTTGAAGGTGACCCGGAAACTACAACTAATCCAGAATGTGGCAGCTAGACTGGTGACTGGGAGCGAACGTCGAGACCACATACACCAGTCCTGAAAGACCTACATTGGCTCCCAGTACATTTTCGAGCGCAATTCAAAGTGTTGATGCTGACCTTGAAAGCCCTAAAAGGCGTTTTTGTTTTCGAGGCTTTTTCGGTTAATTTGTTTTTGTGACTGTGTGGAACCCAGTTCAGCTACTGATTGATTGTGTGACTGCAGTACATCGTTTATTGCTTTCATTTTATGGATCAGTGGTTTCGTTAGATAGTAAAATTCATGTTAAATTGCTGTTTTAGGGGTTGTTTTTAAAAGTCTGGAACGGATAAATCCATTTTGCATTGCTTTCTATGGGAAAGCGCGCCTTGGTTTTGGAACGCTTTGGTTTTGGAACGGACTTCTGGAACGGATTAAGTTTGAGAACCAAGGTACCACTGTATATCTAACGTCCGAAAGGTATCTTTTTAAAGGACAGGGCCAGTCCTTCGTTGCAACCTGGGAAACTGCGATTTCCCAAAGCTCCCTGTTCTTGTGTACACACAGCAGTGCAGAGAAACCTCTGTGGAGCTATTCTGATCCCTTTGGAGGAATGTTCTGTACATAGCAGAGTGGTGTCAAATTCCTAGGGGCTCACCATATTAGCAGATTTTTAATCCCCCCCCCTAAGAGTTGTGGGCCACTTTCAAGGCTGAGTTACAGGGTTATAAAGACAAGGATTAACCGCCTGAGAAACAGTTTCTATCCAAATGCGATTTTGGTTTTAAATGCAATGTAAGGAGTCTCTATGGGAGTATATTGTATTTTAAAAATATCAGAGTTTTTAGGGGGCTAACCAGGTTGGGATAGATGGGATAGCAGGATTGTTGGTTTTGAAGGCCTTATGTAGATTTTTTTTTCCAGTTTCGTTGTTCTGTATAGGACAATGATAATAAAGATTATCTTTTTCAACCAATGTTTTTATTAATTTCCAAATTTTTAACAACTACAACATAACACATAAAACAAAACATATGAAAAACAAACATAGAAAATTTCTTCCAATCAAAATCCAAGCTGATTTCCATTGTTAAGTGACTTCCTCAAATCCTTCCTAACTGATTTTCATTAAATCTCATTTTAGCAATTTTCCAGTATTCATTTTCTAATATAATTAACTATTTCAAATTACTAACTTCCTTTCTTTTCATCATAGTCTCAGTGACAATAAAGATTATCGAATCGTATCGTATTTTTCCGTGTATAAGACTAGGTTTTCCCCCCTTAAAAATAATGTCAAAAATGTGGGGGCGTCTTATACGCGGAGGCCATCTCCCTCCCATTTTCTTAAACTGGAGTCCCCCCAAAATAGGGGGCGTCTTATAGATGGGAAAATACGGTAACTTCCAGCATTTATCTGACAGCCATTCTGTCTCCCCTTCCAGACTTCCCCAAAGAACTGGAGCCCAAGGCTGACCCACATCGGAGGGGGTCTCTCTGCGACCGGCACTGCGCTGCCGTCAACAACACCCACGGGGACGTGGGCGACCTCCATTCGGGGTCCCACCAACTCATGCATGGCATCCTGACCCCCAGGATACTGCCAGGTAAGGTGTGGGGGTGGAAACGGGGAGCTTCTATTGTAAGAGGTAAAGGGACCCCTGACCATTAGGTCCAGTCGTGACCGACTCTGGGGTTGCGGCGCTCATCTCGCTTTACTGGCCAAGGGAGCCGGCGTACAGCTTCTGGGTCATACGGCTAGCATGACTAAGCCGCTTCTGGCGAACCAGAGCAGCGCACGGAAACGCCGTTTACCTTGCCGCCGGAGCGGTACCTATTTATCTACTTGCACTTTGACGTGCTTTTGAACTGCTAGGTTGGCAGGAGCAGGGACCGAGCGATGGGAGCTCACCCCGTCGCGGGGATTCGAACCACCAACCTTCTGATCGGCAAGCCCTGGGCTCTGTTGTGGATTTCATGCTCTTTATTCAGCTCATCGTAGTTAGGAATGAAAGTTTCCCCGAAATGTCTGCTTTATATACATTGTTTACACAATGGGCCCCACGTGATTGGCTAATTCTGGGATTCTCCCGTAGGCCAATCAGGCTGCGGATTCACTTCCACCCGGAGTTGGATTGGGTGGCTCCTGTGGACCAATCAGACTGCTGCATTCTGGATCCTATCATTCTAGGACCAATCAGACTGCTGCATTCTGGATCCTTTTGTTCTCGGACCAACCAGACTGCTGCATTCTGGAATCTATTGTTCCAGGACCAACCAGACTGCTGCATTCTGGAATCTATTGTTCCAGGACCAACCAGACTGCTGCATTCTGGAATCTATTGTTCTAGGACCAACCAGACTGCTGCATTCTGGATCCTATTGTTCTAGGACCAACCAGACTGCTGCATTCTGGATCCTATCATTCTAGGACCAACCAGACTGCTGCATTCTGGATCCTATCATTCTAGGACCAATCAGACTGCTGCATTCTGGATCCTATTGTTCCAGGACCAACCAGACTGCTGCATTCTGGAATCTATTGTTCTAGGACCAATCAGACTGCTGCATTCTGGATCCTATTGTTCTAGGACCAACCAGACTGCTGCATTCTGGATCCTATCATTCTAGGACCAACCAGACTGCTGCATTCTGGATCCTATCATTCTAGGACCAATCAGACTGCTGCATTCTGGATCCTATTGTTCCAGGACCAATCAGACTGCTGCATTCTGGATCCTATTGTTCTAGGACCAATCAGACTGCTGCATTCTGGATCCTTTGTTCGTGGACCAATCAGACTGCTGCATTTTGGATCCTATTGTTCCAGGGCCAACCAGACTGCTGCATTTTGGATACTTTGTTCTAGGACCAATCAGACTGCTGCATTCTGGATCCTTTGTTCTAGGACCAATCAGACTGCTGCATTCTGGATCCTATTGTGCCAGGACCAATCAGACTGCTGCATTTTGGATCCTATTGTTCCAGGACCAACCAGACTGCTGCATTCTGGATCCTTTGTTCTAGGACCAATCAGACTGCTGCATTCTGGATCCTTTGTTCTAGGACCAATCAGACTGCTACATTCTGGATCCTTTGTTCTAGGACCAATCAGACTGCTGCATTTTGGATCCTATTGTTCCAGGACCAATCAGACTGCTGCATTTTGGATCCTATTGTTCTGGGGCCAATCAGACTGCTGCATTCTGGATCCTATTGTTCTGGGGCCAATCAGACTGCTGCATTCTGGATCCTATCATTCTAGGACCAATCAGACTGCTGCATTCTGGATCCTTTGTTCTAGGACCAACCAGACTGCTGCATTCTGGATCCTATTGTTCTAGGACCAATCAGACTGCTGCATTCTGGATCCTCTTGTTCCAGGACCAATCAGACTGCTGCCTTTTGGATCCTATTCAACTCAGTACATAACAATACCCCTCACGTGTCCTGATGCCTCTGCCCGCTTCCTCCCTAGTGTTTTCGAACCCTTCCTGCTGCCCCCACCACTCTGAGGAAGTGCCGACATGCGATGGCTGCCTGGTCAAGACCACCCTCACCGCAGAGAATGAGGTCGAGGCTCACAAGCTCTCCAACAATTACAAGGTGAGTTCCTGGCAGGGAGAGGAGGGTGGGCGATGGCAAAGGGCGGAGAGGAACGGAGCCCGGTGTGCCCATTTCAATTCCTGGCAATGGAGTTGAGAGACGCCCTAACCTGGGGAGAAAACAGCAAAGACCCAATGAAGAGAGCACAGCAGAGGTTATATTTTCTGAGAATCCTCCGGGAAAACAATCTCTCAAAGGACCTGTTGATGGCATTTTACCATTGAACTGTGGAGAGTGTATTAACGTATGTTCTGTGTGTGTGGTTTGGGAGCTGCACGGCCAGGGAAAAAACAATGCTGTCCAGGGTTGTAAAGACTGCGGAGAGAATAATTGGGTGCCCTCTTCCCACCTTGGATCAAATCTATGCTTCCAGGTGCCATAAGAAAGCGGCAGAGATAGCGCAGGATAGTGCCCACCCCGGAAATGATCTCTTTCAGATTCTGGCTTCTGGAAGAAGGTCCAGGGTTATAAAGACTAGGACTAGCCGCCTGAGAAACAGTTTCTACCCAAATGCAATTTTGGTTTTAAATGCAGTGTAAGGAGTCTCTATGGGAGTATATTGTATTTAATTATGATGTATCAGAGTTTCTTAGGGGGTTAACCAGGCTGGGATAGCAGGCTAGTTGGGTTTTGAATGTCTTAGGTAGATTTTTCAATTTCGTTGTTCTGTATGGGACAATGGCAATAAAGATGATCGTATCATAGATCCGGCACAACCGCGAGGTGAGGTGTGGCAGTTGCCTCAGGCGGCAGATCCAGTGTCCAGGGACCACACTGCTCCTGCCCCCCTTCTCTCTAGCCTCCTTTTTCTCCCTCTGTCGCCTTGAGCTTGCATGGGGGGGGCTTCAGAAAAAGAGGAGAAGTTGAGGGGGGTGGCATTTTTTGTTTCGCCTCCAGCGGCAAAATGTCCTTGCTGCCATTGTTGCTGTCTGATCCCGCGAGCTCTTCTTATTAATTTATTTCTCAAAATATATACACCGCTTGGTTGCAAACAGGAACAGCAGCAGCAATCCTCAAGGTGGTTTGCATAATGATCAAGCAGGAAGGTTGAGGGGAAATGGCAACAGCATAATAATAATAATAATAATAATAATAATTTTATTATTTATACCCCTGCCCATCTTACAGCACATATAAAAAATGGTAAAACTTCAGACATTAAAAACGTCCCAATACAGGGTTGCCTTCAGATGTCTACTAAAAGTCAAAGACAGTGGTACCTTGGGATGCGAACAGAATCCGTTCCGGAGCCCCGTTCGCATCCTGAATAGAACGTAAGACACGTCTGCGGGTCACATTTTGCCACTTCCGCGCATGCGTGCGACGTCATTTTGAGCGTCTGCATGAGCGGCGAAACCTGGAAGTAACGCACTCCGTTATGCCACGGAGCATAACTTGAAAACACGCAACCTGAAGCACATTCAACCCGAAGTCTGACTGTAGTTTTTTCCCCCTTGACATCTGGTGGGAGGGCGTTCCACAGGGCAGGCGCCACCACCAAGAAGGCCCTCTGCCTGGTTCCCTGTAACTTGGCTTCTCGCAGGGAGGGAACCGCCAGAAGGCCCTTGGAGCTGGATCTCAGTGTCTGGGCAGAACGATGGAGGTGGAGATGCTCCTTCAGGTATACTGGGCTGAGGCCGTTTAGGGCTTTCAAGGTCAGCACCAACACTTTGAATTGTGCTCGGAAACGTACTGGGAGCCAGTGTAGGTCTTTCAAGTGTTATATGGTCTCGGTTGCCACTCCCAGTCCCCAGTCCAGCTGCCGCATTCTGGATTAGTTGTAGTTTTCTGGTCACCTTCAAAGGTAGCCCCACATAGACTGCATTGCAGTGGTCCAAGCAGGAGATAACCAGAGCATGCACCACTCTGGCGAGACAGGTGGGGTCTCAGCCTGCTTACCACATGGAGCTGCTAGACAAACATGGACTAAAATGACCTCTACTTTTCTGCGCAGCGGGGTAGGTTTTTGGTTTTCTGCTCTTTCCTGGAGGCCCCACCCAAGTCTGCTGAGTGGTCCAGGGTCCAGTTTGAGTACATTGAGAACAATGGGGTGCAGTTTAAGTAAGGCGAAAACTGAGAGGGACCAGAGACCCAGATAATTGAGTTTATGGATTCTGTAGGTTAGCAGTGGAGAACCAGCTCATGCACCTGGTAACTTTGAGGCTGGATTACTGCAATGCACTCTATGTGGGGCTGCCCTTGGGTCTGGTTCAGACGCTCCAGCTGGTGCAGAATGCTGCTTCCAAATTGCTGACAGAAGCTTCTTGTTGAGAACAGCTGACACGATTGTTAAAACAGCTGCATTGACCGTCCATCTGCTACCCAGCTGGATTCAAGGTTCATGTATTAATTCAGAGACTGCCAGAACCCTGATATCCTAGCCTGATTATCTGCAAGAGCACCTCGGGTTATTCCCCTACATTGGTGAGGCTCTTTTAACAACAACGACAACAAGAAACTGAGCCTTTAGCGTCGCTGGCCCGGTCCTGTGGAACTCTCTGCCACTGGAGATTCAGCAGACGCCGTCTGTGCCAACTTTTAAACGCCCGCTGAAACCTTTTCTGTTTCTCAAGGCCTACGTAGGCAATTAAGAGTGCACACCCCACAGTGGTCTTACTGCTGTTTGCTTTTGCTTTTAACTTGTTTTTAAGCTTTTGCTCTGTTGTAAACAATGTTGATATATTTCTTTGATACGGCGGTACATAAATATTTTTTATAAATAAATAAATGAGTTTTTTTGGTGGGGAGCAGGTTAGTTTTCCCCGCTTGCCTCATATCTTGGGTTCTACAAATGCTAGAAACTTAACTCTTTATTTGAAAAAAATAAAGCCGGGGTTCTCGAGGTCACAATTCATCAACCGGGGGGCGGGGGGCAGGGCAGTATCTCCCTTTGGCTTCCTGCAGACATTCATGGGAACTTCACTTTCAAACAGCCATTGTTTCCCCGCTCAAGAGTCCCAGAAATTGTAGTTTGAGAACCTAGAACCTAGAACTATGGTTCCTAGAAAGGGCTTGGTGATGCAACGTAGCTTTAAAAGGTAAAGGTAAAGGGACCCCTGACCATTAGGTCCAGTCGTGGCCGACTCTGGGGTTGTGGCGCTCATCTCACTTTACTGGCCAAGGGAGCCGGCGTACAGCTTCCGGGTCATGTGGCCAGCATGACCAAGCCGCTTCTGGCGAACCAGAGCAGCACACAGAAATGTCGTTTACTTTCCCGCCGGAGTGGTACCTATTTATCTACTTGCACTTTGACGTACTTTCGAACTGCTAGGTTGGCAGGAGCAGGGACCGAGCAACGGGAGCTCACCCCGTCGCAGGGCTTTGAACTGCCGATCTTCTGATCGGCAAGTCCTAGGCTCTGTGGTTTAACCCACAGCGCCCCCCGTGTCCCTAACGGAGCTTTAAGTAGCTTTAATAGATGCCCCTGTAACAGACGACCTCTTTCTCCCTCTTGCAGTTTGGCTTTAAGAAATGGAAGAGCCACGTCACAGCCAGGCCCTGGGAAGACCGCTCGGAAATCGTGAAGGAGCTGTACTCTGACCTGAACATAATTAAAAGCCCTGCAGGTAAAAAATATAAATAAATACCTTGCCTAACAATCAGCTGGACATAAACATCAAGAAGGGCTTGGTGTTTTTTTAAGAGGCCATTGCTCCTGTATCTTGCTGAAGGACGGACTTCTTGGATGAAACTTTTACCCCACTTTCTCCATTAAACGCTCCCATTTAAAAAAATACGTGGGGAAAAGTGCATATAAAACTCTGTTGAAAGATCTCAAATGCTAGTAGAATTGTGAAGGTACAACATCATCATCATCAACAACAATAATAATATTTATACACCACTCATCTGGCTAAGTTTCCCCAGCTACTCTGGGTGGCTTCTAGCAAAATATTAAAATACAATAATTCATCAAATATTAAAAGCTTCCATAAATAGGGCTGCCTTAAAATGGCTACTAAAAGTCAGATAGTTGTTTATTTCCTTGACATCTAATGGGAGGGTGTTCCACAGGGCAGGCGCCACCACCGAGAAGGCCCTCTGCCTGATTCCCTGCAACCTCGCTTCTCGTAGGGAGGGAACCGCCAGAAGGCCCTCGGCGCTGGACCTCAGTGTCCAGCCTGGACGATGGGGGTGGAGACACTCCTTCGGGTCTACTGTTCTGAGGCCATTTAGGGCTTTCAAGGTCAGCACCAACACTTTGAATTGTGCTCGGAAACGTACTGGGAGCTAATGTAGGTCTTTCAGGAATGGTGTTATGTGGTCTCGGCGGCCGCTCCCAGTCACCAGTCTAGCTGCCGCATTCTGGATTAGTTGTAGTTTCCGGGTCACCTTCAAAGGTAGCCCCACATAGAGCGCACTGCAGTAGTCCAAGCGGGAGATAACCAGAGCATGCACCACTCTGGAGAGACAGTCTGCAGGCTGGGAGGGTCTCAGTCTGCGTACCAGATGGAGCTGGTAGACAGCTGCCCTGGACACAGAATTGACCTGCTCCTCCATGGACAGCTGTGAGTCCAAAGATCATCCACTCTGCCCCTCTGCCAATGCAGAGAATCCACAGCTATAGCTACCCTCATAGGTTGGCCATCTGGCCTCTGCTTCAAATCCTTGACTGATGAAGAGTCCACCTCGTCCCAAGGCAACCTCTTCCTCCAAACTGCTAGGAAGCTCTTCCTAGTGCTTAGTTGAAATCCTCAAACATGAGTTAGGCACTGGGCAAATGTTCTCTGGAGAGTTTTAATTATTTGAGGGCCAGTACTGGAAAATTCCACTGTCCTGTAGCAACCCGAAAAGGTCTCTACCTGCATATATAGTTAAAAGTAGCATCCTACAACTATAAGCAGTCATGGTTTCCCCCAAAGAACCCTGGGAACTGTTCATGCTTTCCTTGAAGACCCTATTCTGCCCACAGAATTACAATTGTTGTGATAACAGATAAGACAAATATGAAAAAGTATTTCACCCATATTAGTCTAAGTTGTATAAAGGTCAAGTAATCTCTTTTTTCAAAAAAACAAAACAAAGCACACACACAGATGAATACTTACAGAGATAGCGTTTACCAAAGATTAAGACTCTCAAAGACAAATAATGAATGACCCTGTAGCTGTTCAATAATTATGTGATGCCATCAAAAAAGTTCAGAATGGAAAGGTACTGGACCAGAAGGACTGTTGGCTTCTTACCATAAGTCTTTTGAAGATGTACTTTTACAACCCTTTCAATGGACAATGGACAATATTTTACAGAGCGGTAAGATTCCAGATTGTCAGAGAGAGGTCAACTTGCAGCCGCTGGGAGAGATCATCAGGGGGTTTGGGCTGGGTGTTCATCAGTATGCAGATGATACCCAGCTCTACCTCTCCTTTAAATCAGACCCAGTGAAGGCAGTGAAGGTCCTGTGTGAGTGTCTGGAGGCGGTTGGAGGATGGATGGCGGCTAACAGATTGAGGTTGAATCCTGAAAAGACAAAAGTACTGTTTTTGGGGGACAGGGGGCAGGCAGGTGTGGAGGATTCCCTGGTCCTGAATGGGGTAACTGTGCCCCTGAAGGACCAGGTGCGCAGCCTGGGAGTCATTTTGGACTGACAGCTGTCCATAGAGGCGCAGGTCAACTCTGTGTCCAGGACAGCTGTCTCCCAACTCTACCTGGTACGCAGGATGAGACCCTCCCTGCCCGCGGACTGTCTTGCCAGAGTGATGTATGCTCTGGTTATCTCCCGCATGGACTACTGCAATGCGCTCTATGTGGGGCTACCTTCTTGGTAGCAGCGCCCATCCTGTGGAACTCCCTCCCACCAGATATCAAAGAGAACAACAGCTACCAGAGTTTTAGCAGACATCTGAAGGCAGCCCTGTTTAGTGAAGCTTTTAATGTTTGATGTATTACAGTATTTTAATATTTTTTGGGAAGCCGCCCAGAGTGGCTGGGGAAGCCCAGCCAGATGGGCGGGATATAAATAATAAATTATTATTATATTATTATAATTATTACACTTATACCTATAGAGTCTCAGGACTTGACTCTGATGAAAAACCATCGACCAATTTCCTTACTGAACAATGATTATAAGTTACTTACATCAATTTTGTCAGAAAGGTTAAAAAAGATTTTGCAGGATTCAATTCATCATGATCACTGTGGATTCCTGCCTAAAAGACTGTTAAGAGATAATGTCAGAAATATATTGGATGCTTTGGAATATCTGAATTGCCACAAGAAATGAGCTGCTTTGATTTTTTTGGATGCAGAAAAAGCCTTTGACAAGGTGAATTGGGTATTTTTTGTTTAAAGCACTGCAGGAAATGAACTTTGGTGATAACTTTATTAAATGGGTAAAAATGATTTACAAATCACAGATAGCCCAGATAATTGTTAATGGGAAATCGACAAAACCCTGTGAGATAACAGAAGGGGACAAAGCAAAAGTGTCCATTGGCCCCATTACCTTTCATTCTGGTCTTGGAAGTCTTGGAAGATGCGAGAATTATGGGAATAAAGATTGAAAAAGAAAGTTATGGGCCTTTGCTGATGACCTGATATTAGTTCTGGGAAATTTGCTGCAGGGAATGGAGATTCTTATGAAGTAAATGATTTTGGTATGTTAGCAGGCTTAAAGGTTAATGACCAGAAAACAAAAATATTAACAAAGAATATGACAACAGAAGATCAGAACGTTTTGATGGAGAAAAGAGGGTTTCCAAATCAAAAAGAATTAAAATACTTGGGTACTACTATGACAAGTATGAATTGTGTGTTGTTTCAAAATAGCTATGTTAAGACATGGGCCGAAATCAAAAAGAGATACGTCAAGATGGGAGATGCTAAAATTATCGTTGTTGGGTAGAATCTCAGTGATAAAGATGAATGTTCTGCCTAGAATGACATTTTTATTTCCAACAATACCTATTTCGACTAATGATTCACCGTTTCAACAATGGCAAAAAGATTTATCTAAAATTCTATGGCCGTGGGGGGGGGGGGGGGATGACCGAGATTCAAAATTAAAGCATTGCAGGATTCAAAGAAAAGGGGAGGGTTGGGTTTACCTGACCTGAAATTGTATTTTGTGGCTTCTTGTTTGGTGTGGATGAAGGAGGGGGTGACACTGAAAAACAAGAGACTCTAGAACTTAGAAGCACATGATTTAAGGTTTGAATGGCGTGGATATTTGTGGGGCAGTAAAGTCAAAGCTGATGTGGATTTCAAAAATCTGATTAAGAATTTGGAATAAATATGAACCTAGAATATGTCCAAAGACACCCGAATGGATTTCGCCACAAGAAGCTTTTCATAGAAAAGAGGAGGTTGGTAAAGAGAAACCGCTAACTTATCAAGAGTTATTAGAGTGGAGTCAAGAAGGTTGTAAAATTAAAACAAGGGAAAGTTAACAGTGGAAGGTTATCATTTCCAGCGGTTTTCTCATTTACGACTAGCGAGAGATTTAAGTTGGATGAAAAGACTTTTTGGTGAAGGTCCCCTCCTCTCTCCTTTGCGTCCTTGATGCCTTAACCTCCAAAGTTCTCTGCGTCTGAAGGAAGGGGACGTGGGAAATGCGAGTCTGGGATAGCCTTTGTGTGTTTTAAAAAACGAATCTTCTACCTAGGCTCTATGCTGACATGTGGAAACCTTTTCTACCTCCTCTGTTTCGGATGGTGGCTGTCCTTGCTCTACGTCCTGGTCTCCATCCTGATGTTCCTCACCATCCTGGGGGTACCCTACGGTGAGTTACAGGGCCTTAGCCAGTGTAAAATTGTAGAATTGGGACCTCAGGGTCATCTAGTCCAACCCCAGGAATCTCAGAGCATACGAAAAGCAGTTGAGGCTGCGCTCATGTTCAAGATCCAGTTTCGGGGAGGAGGGAGGGACTGAAGAGGCAAAAGCAATGGATGAGTGGAAAATTCAGGACAGGTACGTTTGTAAGAACTCAGTTTGTCTAGTGTGGCAGCGTTTGGACTTTGGAACTCCCTGCCTAATGATACAAAGCAGGCACATATGTTGGATGTTGATGTCTGTTTTAACCAGTTTGAATATTTTAACATTTTGGCCAATAATTGTGCAGTGGTACCTCTAGTTGCGGACACGATCTGTTCCGGGGTGCCGTTCACACCCCGGAAAGTCCGCAACTAGAGTGGCCCTTCTGCGCAAGCGAGGAGAGCGACTGAGCGCTTCTGCACATGTGCAAAGCGCACAGAACGCTTCTGTGTGTGTGCGCAAGGCGAAATCCGGAATTATATACTTCTGGGTTTGCCGTGTTCGCAAGCTGAAAAGACACAACATGAACCTAACACAACACAAGGGATAACTGTATTCTTTTATTCTCTTTCTAAACTACTTCGAGGTTTTTTTTTTATTTTAAAAAATATCTATCAAGAAGTACATACATTTTATGAAATAGGTAATTTTTAAAAGGAAATCTGCCCCAGAAAGCCAGAAGTAATGTGACCAACAGCCTAATTTTCGCCTTAGTGGCTGAGAATAGTCAGGCTAACCTAATGCGATGTAGCTGATTTTTCTGTGAGGAAAAGCCTGAGACTGCATGCACCACGCCCATTATCCCAGATGGGATCTTGCCAGTGGCGGCTAGTGGCTGTTGGGAGTCGTAGTCTGGAAGGCAGAGCGCCCGGTCAGCGACAGATCTACTGTGAAACAAATCAAGCTGAACTGTCTGGTCGACCCAATTTGAATCGCAGAACTCAAACGGATTAATTTTGGGTGGTATGAATTCTGTCAATCCCGGAGTTTGAGATTGTCGGAATATTTTGTAAAATGTGCTTCGCTTAGTAGGTGTTTCAGCTGAAAGATTCTATCGACTGTGGTCTTTTCTCAGTTTCATTTCATCATTCTAGGATGCATCCTGCGTGTCTAGAACATTCCCCACATTTTCATCCCACCAACATAACTCAAAAGCTATAAATCACAGGACGTTTTTATTCAACCCAGTGACTTCGGCACATGAGATAATTCAGTACAGTGGGTGCTCGGGTTGCGAACGTGATCCGTGCGGGAGGCACGTTCGCAACCCGCAGCGCACGCGTGGGTTGCGATTCAGCGCTTCTGCGCATGCGCAAAGCATGATTTAGCGCTTATGCGCATGCGCAAGCGCCAAAACCGGGAAGTAACCCTTTCCAGTACTTCCGGGTTTGGTGCCGTGTGCAACCCAAAATCGCGCAACCCGAAGCGTCTGTAACCCAAGGTATGACTGTACAGCCATTTTAATCAAAATCTGAGATGTAGTTGTTAATTTTCTGAAAAATAAACGTGCTGATCCCTGGTGGGGCAACCCCAGTGAAGAAGGTCAAAGGGTTACCCAGACCACATTGCTGGTTGAGAAGGGGGGGCGGGTCATGACAGTTGGAGCTCCAGGGACCCCCCCAAAAAAACTTAGAATAATAGGCGGAGCCAGCAAATTCTGATTTTTGTCCCTGTCCTCTTCCTTGATGCATTCTGCAAGGGGCAACCCTGAGATTTAAGGAGAAGAGGAAGATGGCAACAAGAACCATCCCCTGGGCTGGTTTAAATTAAGAAGGAAAGTGGGGAGCACGGGGTTGCTGGCCAAAGGCAGAGGAGCAAAGTTGGTGGGGGGCAGTGCCCCATTTGCCTAATGGATCTTGCCCCAGCCTACAGAAAGGGGTAGCTTTGGCTGGGGAGGGCGGGATATAAATAAAATTTATTATTATTATGTATGTGTTATTATTATTATTATTATTTCTTTGCTCCGGGACCTCACCTGTCTTTCTCCCCTCCGCAGGTAAGCTGTGTTGGAAACTTGCGGGATATTTCCTCTGGCCGTTTGGGAAAGTCATTCAAAAGGTAGGAGACCCAAACGGAAGCTGGCAGCCGTCTGTCCAGGACACAGCCTGCAGCCGTTGATTTTTGCAGAACAGCGACTTCGGGCGTTTTTGAGAGGTGCCGGCCAATAATGGCGGCTGAGGAAGCTGCGTGTCTTTGGGGCAGCGGTTGAGGGAAGAGGGGGGCCGTGGCTTGCGAGATGAAACCTGCCTGCTCCTCTGGGGTGGGGGGTGATTTCGGTGCTCGCCTTACGGTCACTTCTGGAAAGAATATGCAGGACGAAATGCAGCCAGCCTTTGAATAATAATAATAATTTATTATTTATACCCAGCCCATCTGGCTGAGTTTCCCCAGCCACTCTGGGCGGCTTCCAATCAAGTGTTAAAAACAATACAGCATTAAATATTAAAAACTTCCCTAAACAGGGCTGCCTTCAGATGTCTTTTAAAGAGAACATAGCTGCTTATTTCCTTCACATCCGAAGGGAGGGCGTTCCACAGGGAGGTGCCACCACCGCGAAGGCCCTCTGTCTGGTTCCCTGTAACCTCACTTCTCGCAATGAGGGAACCGCCAGAAGGCCCTCGGTTCTGGATCTCAGTGTCCGGGCTGAATGATGGGGGTGGAGACGGCTCCTTCAGGTATACAGGACCGAGGCCATTTGAAATGATGTTCACTTCTCCGAATTCTGTACTGCTGTTTAAAAATTGCTTAGCCATGTGAAGATAGCAGTAGAAAAATACATGCGAGTGGATGGGGAGAGAATTGCTTACAAAAATACCGTATGTTCCGGCGTACAAGACGACTTTTTAGCCCTGGAAAATCACCCCAAAAGTCGGGGGTCGTCTTATACACCAGGAATACACATTGGGAAGTGAGCAGAGGTGCCCCTTCTGCTGTCGCTCCTCCTCCCTCCCCACAGAAGGGAACACAGAAAATCCTTCCGAGCGCGGCGCTCGCCCGCCCGCCCACCAAACGCCTTGCCTTGGGCTGCTGCGATAGCAGAGGCAGCGGAGGAGTGCGCGATCTGCCCCTGGCGGCTCTCAAACTCTATAACTCTAAAACTCTAAAATTGAACAGCAAAAGTTGGGGGTCGTCTTATGCTCCCAGTCACCTAATACGCCAGAATCTACGGTATGTTTATTAGAAGAAATGTGCAATGATAGCACATCTTTGTGAGGACTCTACCACCTCCAGCACAGACCACCTCGGATGCAGTTTTAAATCCTAGACAGCTGTACCTTGGGAGTCAAACGGAATCCGTTCCAGAAGTCCGTTCGACTTCCAAAGGGTTCAGAAACCAATGCGTGGCTTCCGATTGGCCACAGAAAGCTCCTAAAGCCAATCGGAAGCCCCGTCGGACGTTTGGCTTCCAAAAGAACGTTCGGAAACCGGAATGTTCACTTCCAGGTTTCCGGCGTTTGGGAGTCAAAACATTCGAGAACTAAGCTGTTTGAAAACAAAGGTACAGCTGTGTTTAGTTTTGTTGCGTGTTGGCAAATCGCAGTAAGTCTACAGTGGACGCTTGGGTTGCGAACGTGATTCATGTGGGATGCACGTTCGCAACCCACAGCAGTGCGTCTGCGCACGCGTGGGTTGCGACCCGGCGCTTCTGCGCATGCACAAAGCACAATTTAGTGCTTCTGCGCATGCGCGACTGCCAAAACCTGGAAGGAACCCATTCTGGTACTTCCAGGTTTTGGCGCATCCGTAACCCGAAAAAACACAACCTGAAGTGTCTGTAACCCAAGGTATGACTGTACAGTGGTACCTCGGGTTACATACACTTCAGGTTACAGATGCTTCAGGTTACAGACTCCGCTAACCCAGAAATAGTGCTTCAGGTTAAGAACATTGCTTCAGGATGAGAACAGAAATTGCATGGCAGCGGCGGGAGGCCCCATTAGCTAAAGTGGTGCTTCAGGTTAAGAACAGTTTCAGGTTAAGTACGGACCTCTGGAACGAATTAAGTACTTAACCCAAGGTACCACTGTAATGTGAAAGGTGATTCATAATCTATTGTTGTTGTTGTTATTTTATTATTATAATATTTTTCCTAATGTATACATTTTTGCAACCCGTTTCCACGCAGTAAAAATAATGTCTTGGGCTTTGATTTGGGAAGCGCCCTTTCCCTCCCTTGACTTCTTTCTCAACTCCTGCATCTCGCAGACAAAAACTTACCACCGGAACTGCAACATGAAGTTCAGCAAATACGATGCCATTGCAGAAGTGAACGAGGTGAAGGAGACGACTCCCCTCGTCGCCCGCCAGGAGTCGGCTTGCGAGGACAGTGCAGCGCACTGGGTAAGGTGGGGTGCTGCTTTCCTAGAATTGTAGAGTTCGAAGGGACCCCCCAAAGGCCATCTATTTCAGCCCCCTGGAATGCAGGAATCACAGCTCAAGAATCCTTAAAGGAGAGAGGGCAGACTCCCCCCCCCCCACTGGAGGTTTTAAAACAGAGGTTGGAGAAAACGAGTGAGGTCCCAACTAAAAAAGAATGGCAACTGAAGCTGACGGAATATGCGCAGCTTGCAGACTTAACATATAGAATAAGAGAACAAGAAAAACATAGGTTTAAAGAAGATTGGAAAACATTTGTTGAATATATGGGGAAATTGTTTAAAGTGGAGCCTCTGGATATGAATTTAATTTGTTCTGGAGGTCCATGCGCACCCAGAAAATTTTTTAACCAGAGGCGCCGCTTTCGCGCACGTGCATGGCACGATAAAGCGTTTCTGCGCATGCGTGAGTGGTGAAAGCCGGAAAAATACTTCTGGGTTTGCCACTTACGCAACCCAAAGTTTATATGACTCGAGAGTAACGTAACCTAAGGGTCTACTGTACATTTGAAAACGTTGGCAGCGTAAAGTTAAATTTAATAGTGTAAACAAGTTTGGATGGATGTAGTAATGGAATACAGTGGTACCTCAGGTTAAGAACTTAATTCATTCCAGAGGTCCGTTCTTAACCTGAAACTGTTCTTAACCTGAAGCACCACATTAGATAATGGGGCCTCCCACCGCCATGCGATTTCTGTTCTCATCCTGAAGCAAAGTTATTAACCCAAGGTACTATTTCTGGGTTAGCAGAGTCTGTAACCTGAAGCATCTGTAACCCGAGGTACCACTGTGCTGAATGGTTTAATTTACCTAAAATATGCAGGGATTTATGATATGTAAAATGAACCGTGGAAAGAGAAGACGGGAAGTCATTGATATTTTGAGGATGTTTAGGTGAGCATTCTAAATTGTAAAACAGAAAATTTAATAGAATTATATTTTAAAAAATAAAACAGCGGTTGGGTGCCCATCTGCCAAGGAGTCTGTAGCTGTGATTCCCGTCATGTGTGAGGGCTGGACTAGATGGCTCTTGGTGTCCCTTCCACCTCTACAGTTTTGTGGTTCCACCCCTGTGTGTTTTTGATCTGCCGTGGGGAAGCTCTCCCCTGACGGATCCATCCCATTCCCCATTTCTCCCCCAGCGGCGTCCCAGCACCTACGTCTGGCTCCTTTTGGGCTACCCGCTCCTCTCTCTCGCCCACGGGCTGATCTGCTTCGTCTGCTGGCTCCTCGTCTTCATCATCCCCGTGGCCAAGATGAACGGCCGCACCGTCACCAAGCTCCTCCTCCTGCCCCCGGAGCAGGTCCACGTCCAGCGGCTGCGGAAGGTAAAGGTGAAGGCGGGGCGGGGGCCGCGGAGGTTGCAGAGGGCCGGGCCCCCGTGGAGAAAGGCTTGTGGCTTTTTAGCCAAGCAAGCAAGAGACGGCACGGGGAGAATTATCCGAACAGATAAACAAAGATATTTCGTCACACGGTTCGTTGTTAGCCTGTGGAACTGCCTGCCACAGGAGACAGGGATGACCATCAGCTGGGATGGATATAAAAGAGGATCACAGATGAGGAGAGGGCAAAGCTTCTCGATCCCACTTGCAGGAAACGCCAGAAGGAGAGAGTTGCTCTCGCGCTCGGATCCTGTTCGCAGGTTTCCCTTCGGAGCATCGGGTCGTCCCCTGCGAGAACAGGGTGCTGGACTGTATGGGCTATTAGCCTGATCCAGCTGGCTTTTGTGTGTGTGTTGTAACACAGGTGGCGCTGTGGGTTAAACCACTGAGCCTAGGACTTGCCAATCGGAAGGTCGGCGGTTCGAATCCCGCAATGACGGGGTGAGCTCCCGTTGCTCGGTCCCTGCTCCTGCCAACCTAGCAGTTCGAAAGCACGTCAAAGTGCAAGTAGATAAATAGGTACCGCTCCGGCAGGAAGGTAAACGGCGTTTCCATGCGCTGCTCTGGTTCTCCAGAAGCGGCTTAGTCATGCTGGCCACATGACCCGGAAGCTGTACGCCAGCTCCTTCGGCCAGTAAAGCGAGATGAGCGCCGCAACCCCAGAGTCGGCCACGACTGGACCTAATGGTCAGGGGTACCTTTATCTTTTTATGTTATAACATCCCAGGGCAAGCACACGCAATTCACACAGTCCCTACCCCGGAACTGAAGCTTCAGCACAGGTGTTGGCAACGTTTTTGTGGCTTGGGCCGGTTCACGGTCCCGCAGGTGCCACAGTAGGCCGGCGTGTGTGCGCGCGCATGCGCAAATGCTATTTCCGGCGTGGAGGAGGCGTGCGCAGCTTCTCGTGGGCTGCAGGAGCATCCCGCAGCCCATGGGAAGCTGGCTAGTGTCGCAGAAGGCAGGTCCCTGCTCTGCTCCGCACCTGGTTTAGCGCGGCGCACGGGAGCTGACTGAGCTGGCAGGTGGGGGTCCATGCGCCGGTTAAGCGACCACCATGGGCCGCCTGTGCCCCATGGGCCTTAGGATGCTGACCCATTTGTAGCAGCAGTTGTAGCATGTGACTGGCGGTCAAGTTCTGTGATCCCAGGGCAGCTTGTACTGCCAGCTCCAGTCTGGTAGACGCAGGATGAGACCACTGCCTGCCCGCAGACTGTCTCTCCAGAGTGGCTGCATGCTCTGGTCTATCTCCCGCTTGGACTAGCTGCAATGCGCTCCTGCAGTGGGGCTACCTTATGAAGGTGACCCAGAACACTGCAACTAATCCAGAATCAGCAGCTAGACTGAGTGATCTGAGATCACGTGCCGCCAAGGCCACATAGCAGCCGGTCAACTGAAGATGGTCCTGCACTGGCTTCGCAGTACAAGTTTCTGCAGCTCAATTGCAACAGATGTTGCTGCTAGACATTTAAAGCCCCTCAACGGCCTCGGCCCTAGCTAGCCACACTGAAGGCATGCATCTCCACCCCCAGTCGTTCTAGCACTGCACACTGAGGTGCACAGCATCCAAGGCCTTCTAGCTGGCTTCCCTCCCTGCGAGCAGTGAGGTTACAGGGAGCCAGGCAGAGGAGCCTTCTTGGTGGTGGCGCCCGCCCTGTGGGACCCCCTCCCTCCAGATGTCAAAGCGATAAACAACTACCTGACATTCAGAAGACATCTTAAGGGACAGCCCTGTTCAGGGAAGTTTTAATGTGTGACATTTTAGTGTATTTGTGGTCTCTGTGGAAGCTGCCCAGAGTGTGCTGGAAACCCAGCCAGATGGGCGGGTGTACAAATAATAGATTGTCATTATTATTATTATGTTATTATTTATTATAACTGATGGTCCGCAGACAGAAGTTCCCTCGATGCTGAAGTGCTCCTTTGCTGCTACCGGGCTGTGAACGCATATTACTACAAATACGCCGTGGATGGGATCAATGTATTTGCCGTCAGTATCCTTTCGGTGTTGTTGGTTTGGGCTTTGCCTCCTTGGGAGTGGGGTTTGCGCGAGAGCTTTGGATCTGGGTCTCTCTTAGCAGAGTAGGATCTCTTGAATGCAGTGATGGCCCTCCTTGGTTTATAAACCTCAACTGCGTTGCATTTAAAAATAAAAATTGAGCAGACTGAATCGGTTAAGCAAAACAGATGGGTTTTCTGCACGGAGTTGCTTCTGCAAATGTAGCGAGAGCTGAGGAGCAAAACCTGGACAGAGCTAAACACAGCTATTTGTCCAAGGTTGTAAAGACTGCGGAGAGAATAACTGGGTGCACTCTTCCCACCCTGGATCAAATCTATGCTTCCAGGTGCCATAAGAAAGCTGCAGAGATAGCGCAGGATAGTGCGCACCCCAGAAATGATCTCTTTCAGCTTCTGCCTTCTGGAAGAAGGTCCAGGGTTATAAAGACTAGGACTAGCCGCCTAAGAAACAGTTTCTATCCAATGCAATTTTGGTTTTAAACACAGTGTAAGGTGGTCTCTATGGGAGTATATTATATTTAATTATGGGGTATCAGAGTTTTATGGGGCTAACCAGGCTGGGATAGCTGGGATAGCCGGCTTGTTGGTTTTTGAATGTCCGATGTAGATTTTTTCAATTTCGTTGTTCTGTATGGGACAATGACAATAAAGATTATCATAGTGTATCAACCGTTCTGAAAAACCTCCTTGCCCATCTTTAAACAAAGAGGTTGCACACTCTGCACATGCTTAAGAGAACTCTTGACTTTGCAACGGGCCTCCAGAGGAGCCTTGGCTCAGATCAGGCCCCAGGTGCAGCCCCAACGTTTTGAAGTTTTAATGTCCTCCATAAGGCCTAGAAACCTGTTTTGGTTAAAGCAGGAGCGTTGATAGGGAGAGTGTCAAAACTCTGGCTCTGCTGTCTAATTCAACGCTTGCACACTGCAGCTCAGCCGGTCCTTGTATTTCCTAGCACCTCCTTGGCTTCATCTTCCCAGGAGGAATAGTTATAATAATAATAATAATTAATAATAATTATTTATTATTTGTACCTCGCCCATCTGGCTGGGTTTCCCTGCCACTCTGGGCGGCTATTTCTCAGCGAAACCTCCTGCGCAGTTGATGCCACTCAAAAGAAAATATGCACGTGTGTTTTTCCTTTCAATACCTCTTGTCAGATCTGCTCCCTTTGGTTATTGTGACTCTAGTTCTGGGCTACGCAGATAAGCACAACCATTACACCAGCTCTGTGGTTAAGTTCACCTTGGCGCTGCTCTCCATCATGCCCCTCTCATACTACATAGGCATGGCAATTGCCAGGTAAGAGGCGCTAAGAAAGAATTAACCATGAGATCTAGAATCATGGGATCATACAAGGTGTGACCCGAAAGTTCGGTGAACGTCCACAGAAATCGGACAGCAAGAAATAAGTCGAACGTACAACCTTACAGGCCTTCAAATTAGGCCCCTCTGATACAACACGCCGTTGACAACGTTTGTAGAACTGTTGGAAACTTCTGGAGAAGTCCTCTTTTCGTACTGCTTTCAGTTCCCTCGTCACAGCAGCTTGGACGTGTGAATTGTTGGGAAATCTGTGCCCTTTCAGTGCAGATTTCAGTTTTGGAAAAAGAAAGATATCCGGTGGCCAGATTGGGAGAATATGGAGGGTGGGACAATTCAGTAACCTCAGTAACGATTTCACACGGAATATGCAATTCTTCCGCCATCATTCAGACAAACGCCGATCCCTCATCAATAACTCACAATCTCGTATCGACATTTGCTGCTGTTCTGCTCGCTGACGGTCTGCCAGACTGATGGTAATCTTTGATGGTTTGCCGCCCTTCACAAAACTGCTCCAACCACTCACACACTGTCTTTCGAGTTACAGCTTCATCTCTGTACACAATTGTGAGCATTTTGTGCGTTTCTGATGCCGATTGTGTGTTCGAATACAGTGGACGCTCGGGTTGTGAACGTGATCCGTGTGGGATGCATGTTCGCAACCTGCAGCAGTGTGTCTGCACACGTGCGGGTTGCGATTTGGCGCTTCTGCGCATGCGCAGCCTCCGAACCCGGAGTAACCCGTTCCAGTACTTCCGGGTTTGAGCATCCATAACCTGAAAAACGCAACCTGAAGCTTCTGTAACCCGAGTATGACTGTATTTCTTGCTGCCCGATTTCTGTGACCATTCCATAGCTGTCAACTTACAGATTTTAAAATAAGGGACCAGCAGCCTTGAAAATAAGGGATCAGCAGCCAAAATAAGGGTTTTCTGGGCACAGGTATGTTCAACTTCTGAGCCCCTCCGAGCCAAGGCAGAAAGCCCAGCCAGCAGCCAAGCAAGCCTCAGCGGTGGTTCCCACAGCGCAGCAACCCAGCAAGGGGACGCAGCAAGGAAAACCACTGTCACCTCTCCGCTGGGAGCGCTGAGCAACGGCGAGTCCCCAGACACGCGGCCGATTTGATCGCCACACGGCATGCAAGCTCCACCCCCAGTCGTTCTCAGACTCCTTATGGGTGAGCAGCGCAGCCGCAGCCAGCTGGAGCCTCCCTCCTCCTGGCCGGCAGGGAGGGAGGGAGAGCTCTCCTTTGAAACCCGGGAATTTAAGGGACATCATCGATAGCGACAGCAGTGGGACACGGCACTGGGATAGGGAGTTTCCCGCCAAATAAGGGACAGTTGACAGCTGTGGACCATTCACTGAACTTTCCGGTCACACCTTGTAGAATGGCTGAGTTGTGAAGGACCCCAAGGCTCTTCTGATGATGCTAAGGGCCGGTGACTTCACCTCGTGGACCTTCTCCGTTTCTCCTGCAGCATCTCAGCCCAGAGCAACTTTGCGGTGGGGGCCGTGGTCAACGCCACGTTCGGCTCCATCACGGAGCTCACTTTCTACATCACGGCCCTCATCAAAGGCGCCCGAGAAAAGAACAAGTGCTACGAGGAAATCGTCAAGTCCGCCTTGACAGGGACCCTGCTGGGCTGTGTCCTTTTCATCCCGGTGAGTCCAGCCCTCGAGTGGCCATACAAGACACTCTGAAATAAACAACTACCTGACTTTCAGAAAACATCTGAAGGCAGCCCTGTTTAGGGAAGTTTTTAATGTTTGATGTATTTATCATGTTTTGAATGTTCTATTGGGAGCCACCGAGAGTAGCTGGGGAAACCCAGCCAGATGAGCGGGGTATAAATCAATCAATCAATAACAATAACATCTATCTATCTATCTATCTATCTATCTATCTATCATCTATCTATCATCTTCCCTCTTGGAATTTGTGGCTTCTCTGTCCCGTCCCCCACTTCCCAATCCCCTCGTATCTGTCGGGACTGTTCCTTCTGGCCTGAAATTCTGAATTCTGCAACTGAAATCTGCAAGCGGAACAGGGGAGCTTTCGGCCGCGGGAAGGGATTTTTTATTTTACTTTATTGGTTTCGTAACATTTGCATGCCCCTTTGATTTACAGTGGTACCTCTGGATGCGAACGGGATCCGTTCCGGAGCCCCGTTCGCATCCTGAAAGGAACGTAAGACATGACTGCGCGTGCGCGGGTCGCGTTTCGCTACTTCCGGGCATGCGTGTGACATCATTTTGAGCATCTGCGCAAGCAGCAAAACCCGGAAGTAACACGTTCCGTTACTTCCGGGTCGCTGCAGAGCGCAACCTGAAAACACTCAACCTGAAGCATATTCATCCCAAGGTATGACTGTAATTAATTAATTGGTGAATTTACTAGACTCCTCCTCTCGCCGCGTTAGCTTGGGAAAGGCTGTACTAGAATAAGACTCCCCTTTTCTGCACGCCGAATGGAGTTCCCAGCCTGGTTCCACAGTGGTCCCGTCCCCGACCGCGTGACACATTATTCCCTGATCATAATGGATCTGCAAAACAACAACAGACTTGGGCAAAGTTGCACAATGAAAAATCAGAGGGGAGGTGCTCTGCCGTTGCGCCGAGTTCTGCTGCGTTACTGCAATGTGCTCTACACGGGGCTTCCCTTGCGCTTGATCCACAGGCTGCATTGAGTGCAGAATGCTGCAACACGATTGCTGACAGTAATGAGGCCTTCTCAGCATGTGACGCCTCTGCTCAGAGATCTGCATGGCTACGGGGCCAAGTTCATTGGCAACGCAGACCGGGGATGGTGGCATTTGGGACTCCCAGCAACATTTTTTTTGCTGGGGGTGGGCAGTTTGTTTGTTTTACTTAAAAAATATTTTTTATGAGCCAGCTCAGCCCAGCGGTTCCATCGACCAAAGCAATTGCTTAGATCCCCTAATCGCTTCCAGCGGTTTGAGACCCGCAGACACTGCCTGGCTTTTAAAATAATAATAATAATCTAATATATAAAATAATTATAATTATAATTATAATCTGATCAATTATAACAATAGCAAACAATTTTATACCATATCTCCACATTGCATCTTACCCTTTGTTATTTTCCTATTATTACATCTTAATTTTTTACACGTTTTCTTAATTGTAAGTGTTTAAAGAAGTGCTAGTAAGTCCACTTCTTTACAATAATTCTTTAGATATAACATAAACGGTTCCCAGTCCTTCTTAAAATCTCTATTGGCCTTGTCTCTTAGTTTTCCAGTTAGTTTCGCCACTCCAGCATATTCCATCAGCTTTTCTTGCCATTCTTCTTTCGTTGGTATCTTGTCGTCCTTCCATCTAACATCCTAGCTGCCGTTGTGGCATACATAAATAGTTTTTACATCCTTTTGGCAAGTCTTGACCTGTAATACCTAACAGAAATAATAATAATAATAATTTTATTATTTTGGTTACAGACCAGTTCCAGCTCAAATACAGTATCAGGGAAGTCATAAAACACGATAAGGATACATTTGAATTTACAATTGGGTATAACAGGGACAATACAGATATAGCAGCAGTTAAAAATATATAATTTAAATCACTAAAATACAACCTGAAATTGTCATTCAAGGCCTGAGGGAACAAGCTGTGCTACCATAATGACCATAGCTGTCAACGTTTCCCTTTTAAAGGGAAATTCCCTTATTCCTAATTGGATTCCTTGCAAGAAAAGGGAAAAGTTGACAGCTATGATAATGATTAAGTTTTATGGCAGTTGCACAGAATTTGGCCAACCTAATAGAAAAGCTTCTGGTCTTTTAACAAAAGATGTCTTAAACATTCTTTTCATTTTATTGTAAATCGTTCCCCAATAACTTTTAGTTACTTTGCAATCCTGCCACTAATAATAATAATAAATAATAATAAATAATAATAAATAATACCCCACCCATCTGGCTGGGCTTCCCCAGCCAGTCTGGGCAGCTTCCAACAAAATATTAAAATACAGTCATGTATCAAACAATAAAAGCTTCCCTAAACAGGTCCTCCTTCTCTTTGCATTTCCAACACTTATTGGAGCTTGTCCTATCCATTTTTGCCATTTTTTCAGGGGTAATGTACCATCTCTCAGGGGTGGGCAGTGTTAAGTTGTGGGTGAACATATCAGACGACACAGCAATTCTTCAAACAGCTCTTGTTTATTCACAGGCCAGGACAGAACTGAACTGAAGGGTTCAGCCAGCCTGCTTATATAGAGCTCCACTACAATGCAACAGTAACAACTTTCTGTAACTATCCAATCACTGAACGTCACTTTCGATCCCTTATTTGCATAACTATCTACAGCATCCCCTGCTGGCCCAGGGTGAGAACTTCAGTACAGTGGTGCCTCGCAAGACGAAAAGAATCCGTTCCGCGAGTCTCTTCGTCTTGTGGTTTGTCTCGTCTTGCGAAGCAAGCGCCATTAGCGGTTTAGCGGATTAGCGCATAGCTGTTAAGCGGCTTAGCGGATCAGCTGATAAGCGGCTTAGCGGATCAGCTGTTAAGCGGCTTAGCGGATCAGCTGATAAGCGGCTTAGCGGCTTGGGGAAAGGAAAAAAACCCCACAGGAACTCGCAAGACATTTTCGTCTTGCGAAGCAAGCCCATAGGAAATTCGTTTTGCGAAGCACCTCCAAAACGGAAAACCCTTTCGTCTAGCGGGTTTTCCGTCTTGCGAGGCATTCGTCTTGCGGGGCACCACTGTACATAACAGGCAGTTTGGAGAATTCTGAGCTAGGTCTTCCTGCTTCCTCGCTGCCTCTTCCAAAGCCAGGCTGGCGAACGCAAGGATAAAGCCACTATCCTTCTCTCTCTTTCTCCTTCTAGGGGCTGTGCATGGTGATTGGCGGCATTCGGCACCAAGAGCAGAGATTCAACAGCAGGTCAGCCGGGGTCAGCTCTGCCCTCCTCTTCCTCTCTGTGGGAGGTAAGTTGCGGAGGTAGGTAGGAGGGAGCTATTGAGAGATAGCCTTCTCCAACTTGCAATCATTTATTGCGTTTGACTAGAAGCCACTACAGATTAGTTTTTACAGATCCAGCAAGTCAATTAAAACCTAATGAAAGAAAACCAGAGACGCGCACCCGTTTACAATGAGTCAAAATAATGAATCGCCTACAAAGTTTGCGGCATTGTCTCTTATATAGCTTTTATTTATTTAGTGTATTTAGCAAATGGGGCCGTTTTTTATTTTTATACACACACCCCCCCACTAATTTTTTAACATATCCTTTCCAACAGTCATTTAACATATTTTCTTATCTTATACAATGTTTTGGACTTCCATCAACCGCATATGAAGATTTTTCAGTCTTTATCACTTAGTCTACATTTCTTATTTTCTCTATTACTTTTAATTGTCCTTAACTAATAACTCTCTTCATTGTCTTCATTGCAATATTTCGCATAATCCTCCTTACAAAACTTCTCGCAGTCCTACTAGCGTGATCTGTTTATTACAATTGCTTTTCAAATAATTCAAATATTTACTCCAGTCCTCTAAGAATCTCCGGTCCTGCAGGTTTCGAATCCTTCCTGTCATCTTATCTAATTCTATATAGTCCATTAATTTCATTTGCTGTTTTGTATGTGACAAGCAGGTCGGCAGTCAGATAATAGCCAACGTATTTTCACTTCAGGGTTCTGCCAGCATCTGTTCCACAAAATCTCTTTCTGGGGTTTTGATAGAGCTTATAATAGAGCATAGGGACGTGGGTGGCACTATGGGTTAAACCACAGAGCCTAGGGCTTGCCCATCAGAAGGTCGGCGGTTCGAATCCCTGCGACAGGGTGAGCTCCCATTGCTCGGTCCCTGCTCCTGCCAACCTAGCAGTTCGAAAGCACGTCAAAGTGCAAGTAGATAAATAGGTACCGCTCCAGCGGGAAGGTAAACAGCATTTCCGTGCGCTGCTCTGGTTCGCCAGAAGTGGCTTAGTCATGCTGGCCACATGACCCGGAAGCTGTCTGCGGATAAACGCCAGCTCCCTCGGCCTATAGAGCGAGATGAGCGTGCAACCCCAGAGTCGGTCACGACTGGACCTAATGGTCAGGGGTCCCTTTACCTTTACCTTTATAATAGAGCATATCACAGGGAGATCTTCTACCACACCTACAAATACATAGTCTTAAATGCCTTGGAACATTTCTGTATCTTCCGTCTAAGACTGATGTAGGGATTGTTTGAAAACGGAGAGCAGTTCTCAGGGAGGCAAAGGGCAGTGACAGCAAATTTTGTGCTCCTGGTATGACTAGATTTCAGTAAATAGTACCAATAGAAGAATTTTGACATATGGATTAGAGATAAATCATCCTTGTTATCCTGTTTATAAATCCAACCCCTGAGCAGTCTTGTAACACCAGGGAATACAAAAATATCTGTTGTCATGTTTTTGAGGCTAGCAGGTCTAACTGTCAGGAGTTCAGCCTACTCTCAAGTAGGACCCTGGCAGAGACACATGCCCATCTGGCATGTTTCCTCCCTCCTGGTCTTTCGTTTGGGAGCTTCAAAAGCTTTCTTCTGCCCGAACATCACAGCGACCAATTCCAACTGACACCGGCACACTTAGGGATCCGCAGAGTTTGCGCATCATGAGCGTAACAGACCTCAGCAACTCAGCACTTTGGCTAATCTACTTTGTTTACATATAAACACACACGGAGCACTGCAACATGGCTCCCTCTCTCTCTAGCATCAGACAGCAAAGGGAAAAGGAACAAAGGACAATAGCCCCACTTCACGGAACACAGTAACACAAACATCCTGTCTCCGTCACTTCCCACTTTGTGGAGTCAAAACATACACCGTCATGTGATAGACAAAAATTCCATGACTGCAATCATGGAGCAGGAATTCTAACATCCTCCCCCAATTCATGATATGTCTTGCAGACATCAGTGTAACTGCAACAACCATACAGATGTCATACACACAGTATATGAGCTATCCAGGACAGAAAAGCAGCCAGAATTGCCTTAACCCTCCACAATAAGGCTGAACATCCATATTAAAATGTGCTATAAAATGATCCCGTTAAAACAACACAGTAGAGTGATACCTTGGTTCTCAAACGTCTTGGTACTCAAACAACTTGGAACCCAAACACTGCAAACCCGGTTTGCAAACTTTCTTTGGAAGCTGAACATGCTCCGTTTTGAGTGTTACGCTGAGGTCTGTCTGTTTTTGCTATTTATTTTGCGCTTTTGTTTTCGCAGCCCTTTTCGTTTTGTTTTTGTGACTGTGTGGAACCCAGTTCAGCTCCTGACGGATTGATTGTGTGTGTGACTGCAGTACACCGTTTACTGCTTTCCTTTTATGGATCAACTGTCTCGTTAGATAGTAAAATTCATGTTAAACTGCTGTTTTAGGGATTGGTTTTTTTAAAAAGTCTGGAACGGATTAATCCGTTTTGCATGACTTTCTGTGGGAAAGCGCGCCTCGGTTTTGCAACGCTTTGGTTACGGAACGGACTTCTAGAACGGATTAAGTTTGAGAACTGAGGTACCCCTGCAATGAAAATGGGGAACTCGGCTCAGGGGGGAAGATGTGGGCTGGACGGATCCTGGGAGGCGATGGGGCTGATCTTCTCTCGCTCTCCTTTCCCCCCAGGTGTGTTCGCTCCAACCCTCTTCTCCAAAGTCTACGGGAGGCTGGTCTGCGGGGAATGCCAGAACGTCACCCAAGAGCCACCAGGGCACTACGTCTGCCAGAGCTGCTACTTTGACTTGGTGAGCAGCAGCTTCTGGGCCCCACATGGGGCTGGGATTTCACCAACCAGTCCCAGCCGCGTTGGCTATGTTGTTGTTGTTTAGTCATTCAGTCGTGTCCGACTCTTTGTGACCCCCTGGACCAGAGCACGCCAGGCACTCCTGTCTTCCACTGCCTCCTGCAGTTTGGTCAAACTCATGCTGGTAGCTTCGAGAACACTGTCCCACCATCTCGTCCTCTGTCGTCCCCTTCTCCTTGTGCCCTCCATCTTTCCCAGCATCAGGGTCTTTTCCAGGGAGTCTTCTCTTCTCATGAGGTGGCCAAAGTCTTGGAGCCTCAGCTTCAGGATCTGTCCTTCCAGTGAGCACTCAGGGCTAATTTCCTTCAGAATGGATAGGTTGGATCTTCTTGCAGTCCATGGGACTCTCCAGAGTCTCCTCCAGCACCAGAATTCAAAAGCATCCATTCTTTGGTTGATCAGCCTTCTTTCTGGTCCAGCTCTCACTTCCATACATCACTACTGGGAAAACCAGAGCTTTAACTATACGGACCTTTGTTGGCAAGGTGATGTCTCTGCTTTGTAAGATGCTGTCTAGGTTTGTCATTGCTTTTCTCCCAAGAAGCAGGTGTCTTTTAATTTCGTGACTGCTGTCACCATCTGCAGCGATCATGGAGCCCAAGAAAGTAAAATCTCTCACTGCCTCCATTTCTTCCCCTTCTATTTGCCAGGAGGTGATGGGACCAGTGGCCATGATCATAAATCAGGCATAATCTCTTTGCTGCTCTGCAGTGGATCTCAGCGGCAAAAACCAGCCCAGATGCATTCTGAGTTGCTGGTTTCTTCAGACACCGCAGGGGATTTTGGCTTCTTAGGGTTCCAAGTTGTTGGCGATTACCGTATTTTTTGCTCTATAAGACTCACTTTTTCCCTCCTAAAAAGTAAGGGGGGAATGTGTGTGCGTCTTACGGAACGAATGCAGGCTGCGCAGCTATCCCAGAAGCCAGAACAGCGAGAGGGATTGCTGCTTTCACTGCGTAGTGATCCCTCTTGCTGTTCTGGCTTCTGAGATTCAGAATATTTTTTTTCTTGTTTTCCTCCTCCAAAAACTAGGTGCGTCTTAGTGGTTTGGTGCGTCTTATAGAGCAAAAAATACGGTAAATTTCTATACCGCTTAAAGCCAAAATACAGTCATAACTTGGGTTACAGCCACTTCAGGTTGCATTTTTTTGGGTTATGGCCCCGCTGAAACCAGGAAGTACCGGAACGGGTTACTTCCAGGTTCGGCGGTCGTGCATGCGCAGAAGCGCTAAATCGCGCTTTGCGCATGTGCAGAAGCGCTGAATTGCAACCCGCATGTGAGCAGACGGGCCGCTGCGGTTTGCGAACGCTGCGGGTTGCGAACGTGCATCCCGCACGGATCACATCCGCAACTCGAGCGTCCGCTGTAACTCGCTGAGCTGTTTACCAAGTATAAAAACAGTTGCTTTTATTATCAATTAACATTTCATATTGCCCTTCATGAAGAGACCTCGGGGCAGATTACAGCTTAAATCGCAAAGCAGGTAACATAAGAGCAAAAAGGGGGCAGGGAAAAACTGCTCAGGGGTCATAATGTAAATACCCCTAATTAAATTATTATTATTATTTATTAAAATTATTAGTTGCTCTTTTTTTTTTTGCAATGGCAACTCAAAGCAGCTTCGCGACTTACAATAAAAGAACAACATATATTGAAACAACCCATCTGCTCTAAAAGGTTGTAGATGGTTCACTCAGCCTTGTTAAAGAGAAAGTTTAAATGAAGGTGCCGGACAAGCATCCACAAACAGGGAGCCGATGCAGAAAAGGCCCCGTCCTTGTTTTGCCACCATCTGGATGTCCCACGAAGATGATCTCAGGGTCTGGTGCTATACCAGCTACACTGGCTCCCGGTGGAGTCCAGGGTCAGGATTAAGGTTTTGACCTTTAAAGCCCTATGCGGCCTGGGACCCTCGTACCTACGGGACCGCCTCTCCTGGTATGTCCCGCAGAGGACCTTAAGGTCCACAAATGACAACATTTTGGAGGTCCCAAGTCGCAAGGGGGTTAGATTGGCCTCAACCAGGGCCAGGGCCTTTTCAGCACTGGCCCCAACTTGGTGGAACGCTCTGTCCCAAGAGACTAGGGCCCTGCGGGACTTGACATCTTTCCGCAGGGCCTGCAAGACAGAGCTGTTCCACCAGGCCTTTGGTTTGGACTCAGTCTGACCCTTATGTTTCCCTCCCCTTATGATCTATGGGCTACTTTAAAAATGAGGCTGCATTTTAAATTGCATGTTAACCTGTATTTTAAATTGGTTCCTGCCCCCCTTATGTTTTTACTGTAATTTTACTGGTGTTAGCCGCCCTGAGCCCGGCTCTGGCCAGGGAGGGTGGGGGTATAAATAAAAATTATTATTCTTATTATTCTTATTATTATTATTTTCAGTTCATATGGGGAGAGGCTTTCCTTGAGGGCTGCGGTCTTAAAACTTTATAGGTCAAACCCAGCTCTTTGAATTGGGTCCAGAAACTACCGTATTTTTCGCTCCATAAGGCGCACCGGACCATAGAGCGTACCTAGTTTTTTGGGGGAAATAAAGAAAAATAAAGAAAAAAAGACAGCCCACTGGCTGTCTTGGCTTCCTCTTTAGCCACGCACAACCTCTCCAGCCGGGAGAGGAAGAAGAAGAAGAAGATGAGTTTGCATTTGATATCCCGCCTTTCACTCCCCTTCAGGAGTCTCAAAGCGGCTAACATTCTCCTTTCCCTTCCTCCCCCACAACAAACACTCTGTGGGGTGAGTGGGGCTGAGAGACTTCAGAGAAGTGTGACTGGCCCAAGGTCACCCAGCAGCTGCATGTGGAGGAGCAGAGACGGGAACCTGGTTACCCAGATTACGAGACTACCGCTCTTAACCACTACACCACACTGGCTGTGCACGGCTTTGTTTTTAGCCGTGGGGTTGGGGCGGGGGAAGCCCGAACAGGTCCGGGAGCGGAGGCAAAGTTGCGCAGCCTTGCCGCTGCTCCCGGAGCTTGCGGGCTGGGGAGCGCTCCGAAGGTTTGCGGATAGCTGCCTGAAGCCCGGGAGCGCAGTGAGAGATGGCACTGCACTCCCGGGCTTCAGGCTGCAGCTGCAATCCGCAAGCCTTGGAGCCCGGCGGGAACTCCCGCTGCACTCCGAAGGTGTGCGGATAGCTTCTGAAGCCTGGAGAGTGAGAGGGTCAGTGCGCACCGACCCTCTCACTCTCCAGGCTTCAGCGAAAGCCTGTATTCACTCCATAGGACGCACACACATTTCCCCTTCATTTTTGGAGGGGGAAAAGTGCGTCCTATAGAGCGAAAAATACGGTAAACGGCAGCCTGTTGAGCCAGGATTGGTCTTATGTGCTAAAGACAGTCTTGCCTCGGTGAGCAAACTGGCTGCCGAATTCTGCACCGGCCGAAGTTTCCGAACCATCTTCAAAGGCAGCCCCACGAATAACAATATTTGCAAATGGATAACTTCTGGCACTGCAAGGTCTGATAATTCTATTATCTCTTGGTAGATGGAGAACAATGGAACCCTTTACTACAGCCATGTTGAGTAAGTACCTAATCATTCATCCTTTTTATTTGCTTGTCCTGTTTAACTGCTTCTGGTCATGGGAAACCTCGCTGGCTGGAGCTGTTGTGAGCCACAAAATTCCATTCCGTCATGTGCCAGAGGCGCATAACATGCTCTCTGTCTTCCTCATCCTTAACTGTGGCAGATCGATTTTTCTAACGCAGCCCCATGCATGAGTCGTTCATCATCTGATCGGATCACCAGTTCCCTGGTAGCTTCTGAAAATAATAATAATAATAAAAAACTCTGCACAAGGCTTGAGGAAGTGACTCCTGCGACTCAATGGAGCTTCTCAAAGAAACCTGTTTATTGAGCGTTTATCCAGATTTGCATGCACAAAGCTTACGGGGAGGTTAGGTGGTATCTGGTCTTTAATGAGCTTTTGCTCTGATTTGTTTGTGGGGAGATTGAGTGATGATGAGCATTCATTCGCATTTGATTTTTCTCATTAATCAGTGGTTCGTTCCACTTTTCGTTGCACTTCCTCATAATATTCCTAACAAGTCCGCTTCTTTTCTTTCGTTTTTTTCACTAGCACAGCAGAGCCCTCTGTTCCGTGTTAATTTTTATTTACATGAAGAATTTCAAAACCATTTGGCAGAGAATGTCACGGCCATTTGCTATAGAACATGCATAGGCAAACTGGGCCCTCCAGATGTTTTGGGACTACAACTCCCATCATCCCTGACCACTGGTCCTGTTAGCGAGGGATGATGGGAGTTGTAGTCCCAAAACATCTGGAGAGCCCAGCTTGCCTATGCCTGCTATAGAAGCATTAAAGCCAAATGTATAAAATCACGAAATCCAGAAGACTCAGCACGGAACCAAATGAATTCCCTGTAGGCACCTGAAAGGCTTTGAAATGGCGCAAACTTAAATTTCCCAGTTTGCAGCTGAATTCCTCCCATAAAATACTGACTGCCTAGAACCATAGAATTGTAAGGGGCCCCTTGCTGTGCAGGAATCTCAACATGCGGTCCCCCATCCCATTTGAAACCAAAGTGGACCCTTCTTAGCTCTGCAAATGTCCTAGCAGTTTTATTGCTGCACTACCAGGAAGATAGGGGACGCGGGTGGCGCTGTGGGTTAAACCACAGAGACTAGGACTTGCTGATCAGAAGGTCGGCGGTTCGAATCCCCACAATGGGGTGAGCTCCTGTTGCTCGGTCCCTGCTCCTGCCAACCTAGCAGTTCGAAAGCACGTCAAAGTGCAAGTAGATAAATAGGTACCACTCCGGCGGGAAGGTAAACGGCGTTTCCGTGCGCTGCTCTGGTTCGCCAGAAGCGGCTTAGTCATGCTGGCCACATGACCCAGAAGCTGTACGCCGGCTCCGTCGGCCAGTAAAGCGAGATGAGCGCCGCAACCCCAGAGTCGGCCACGACTGGACCTAATGGTCAGGGGTCCCTTTACCTTTACTTTACTGGGAAGATAGAAGCACCTGGCCTATCTTAACTTGGTATATATCAGCTTCCCTTTTTAAAAAATATTTTTTATTAATTTTCCATTTAAACGTATATAATCACATCATTATCATCCACTTTACCTCTTTTGGCTCTTTAGATTCTGTCGACTGCCTTCCCTCCCACCTCCTGGTTTCAACAGTAACCTTTTTATCACAGCATTTTATATATTTCCCCATTCTAATATAACTTTTGTAATATAATATTACAAAATACCTCAAAGTTTAAATAAATGTAGAAAGGTAAAATAATTCTCATTACAAGTCTTCGGATAACCCTACTGGTGTTGTTAATTGCTTACAACGGTCTTTCAGATATTGTATAAATGTACTCCAGTCTTTTTTGGAATATTGATCGTGCTGGTTTGGGATTTTTCCCGTCAGTTTCGCCAGTTCCGCAAAGTCCATCATCTTCATCTGCCACTCTTCTTTCGTTGAAACAAAATAAAAATAAAAATTCCTTCCAGTAGCACCTGTTCTTTCGTTGGTACTTCTTGTTGCTTCCATTTTTGGGCTAAGAGGATTCTTGCTGCTGTTGTTGCGTACATGAACAGTCTTTTATCTTCCCTTCACCTACTATACCCAGTAAAAAGTCTTCTGGTTTTTTTAACAAAAGTGTTTTTAAACATTGTCTTTAACTCATTACATATCATTTCCCAGAAAGCCTTTACCATTTTACAGGTCCACCACATAAAATATACCTTCCTTTTCTTTATATTTCCAACACTTGTTAGATCTTGTGTTACACATTTCAGCAAGTTTTGATGGTGTAAAATACCATCTATACATCATTTTCATCCCATTTTCTTTAAGTGCACTGCATGCATAGATCAGCTTCTCTGCGCTCATCTCTGCCTCTTAAGGTTTGGTCCTGGGGCTGCCCTGGCATGTGGGCCAGGCGTAAAGGCTAAAAACACCCCCCTGCATATTTTAACCCTTTGTGTGCGGCAGGCCCCTGGTGTATACGGTGTCCCTGTTGCTCCCTGCGGCGTACATCATCGGCCTCCTCTTCACCCTGAAGACTCACTCGCACATCTACGACATCCATGTCAGCGACTGCCACAGTAAGTACCTTCCTGAGCTTTGCTTTTGTCAGGTGGGGAATAATTTATTATTTATACCCCACCCATCTGGCTGGGTTTCCCCAGCCACTCTGGGCGGCTTCCAGCAAAATGTTAAAATACAATAATTCATCAGATATTAAAAGCTTCCCTAAAACGGGCAGCCTTCAGATGTCTTCTAAAAGTCAGATAGTTGTTTATTTCCTTGACATCTGGTGGGAGGGCGTTCCACAGGGCAGGTGCCACCACCGAGAAGGCCCTGTGCTTGGTTCCCTGTAACTTCGCTTCTCGCAGGGAGGGAACTGCCAGAAGGCCCTCAGAGCTGGACCTCAGTGTCGGGGCTGATCGATGGGGGTGGAGACTCTCCTTCTGGGCCGAGGCCATTTAGGGCTTGAAAGGTCAACACCAACACTTTGAATTGTGCTCAGAAATGTAAAGGTAAAGGGACCCCTGACCATTAGGTCCAGTCGTGGCTGACTCTGGGGTTGCAGCGCTCATCTTGCTTTATTGGCCGATGGAGCCGGCGTACAGCTTCTGGGTCATGTGGCCAGCATGACTAAGCCGCTTCTGGCGAACCAGAGCAGCGCACGGAAACGCCGTTTACCTTCCCGCCAGAGTGGTACCTATTTATCTACTTGCACTGTGATGTGCTTTCGAACTGCTAGGTTGGCAGGAACAGGGACCGAGCAGCGGGAGCTCACCCTGTCGCGGGGATTTGAACCACCGACCTTCTGATCAGCAAGTCCTAGTCTCTGTGGTTTAACCCACAGCGCCACCCACGTCCCTGCTCCAAAACATACTGGGAGCTAATGTAGGTCTTTCAGGACCACGGTTATATGGTCTGGCTAGTCACCAGTCTAGCGGCCGCATTCCGGATTAATTGCAGTTTCCGAGTCACCTTCAAAGGTAGCCCCACGGAGAGCACGGTGCACTAGGAAGTTGGCCTCTCTTCATGCCTTGAGGCGGGTTGTGCGCCACCATGTTGAAGTCCCAGAGCGCTGTATACAATTTCTCACAGAGCAGAGTTAATCTGCGAAACTCGCTGCAGCAGGAAGCAGGGATGGCCCGTCTTGAAAAAGATTAGACAAAACCGTGGCAAAAGCTTTCCTTAGGTGGTCTTTTAGAAGCGGGTCGGATGACAGGCAAGTCCTCCTTCTCCCAGGCCTTTGGCCAATTAAACAATCTACAGTGGTACCTCAGGTTAAGAACTTAATTCGTTCCAGAGGTCCGTTCTTAACCAGAAACGGTTCTTAACCTGAAGTGTGCTTTCGCTAATGGGGCCTCCTGCCGCCGCCGTGTGATTTCTGTTCTTATCCTGGGACAAAGTTCTTAACCTGGAGCAACCACTTCCTGGTTAGCGGAGTTTGTAACCCGAAGCGTCTGTAGCCTGAGGTACCACTGTATAGGCTATTAAACTGAATTGGGTGGTGGTGTATTTTTTTCGTTTGTTACTATGCTCTGTGTGTGTGTGTGTGTGTGTGTGTGTGTGTGGTAAAGGTTAAGGTTAATAGTGACGCATGTGGCGCTGTGGCCTAAACCACTGAGCCTCTTGGGCTTGCTGATCAGAAGGTTTGCGGTCCGAATCCCTGCGACAGGGTGAGTTCCCATTGCTCGGTCCCTGCTCCCACCAACCTAGCAGTTTGAAAGCACACCAGTGCAAGTAGATAAATAGGTACTGCTCCGGCGGGAAGGTAAACGGCGTTTCTATGTGCTCTGGCACTCATCACGGTCCTCTGTGTGCCAGTAGCGGTTTAGTCATGCTGGCCACATGACCCGGAAAACGGTGGACAAAAAAAAGGGGGAGAAATTTAATAAATAACAACTATGGTAATGTTGCTGGACGTTTTGCTGCATTCTTTTATATTCCGTTGGAACCCACCCAGAGTGGCTGAGGCAACGCAGGTGGGTGGGCAGAGGAGTGCAAGCAATATTTTTTTCCTTTTTTAAAAAAAATTTATTTAACATAAATGTTACAAAATATAAGCAAAATATTGCAAATACATACATACATACATATATATTTCAAATAAGCACATCTACAGTGGTACCTCGGGTTAAGTACTTAATTCGTTCCGGAGGTCTGTTCTTAACCTGAAACTGTTCTTAACCTGAAGCACCACTTTATCTAATGGGGCCTCCTGCTGCTGCCGTGCTGCTGGAGCCTGATTTCTGTTCTTATCCTGAAGCAAAGTTCTTAACCTGAAGCACTATTTCTGGGTTAGCGGAGTGTGTAACCTGAAGCGTCTGTAACCTGAAGCGTATGTAACCCGAGGTACCACTGCATATGAAAAAAGGAACAAAAGGAACGAGTAAAGAAGAAAAGTTGGAAGAATTTGTTCCAAGTTTATTCTACAAATTCCTCAATATGAAAGTAGTAATAATAATTCATTGATTGACTTCCATAACTTACACTGCACTTCCCCATACAATCTCGCACAAATATTCTAATCAATAAGTTTTCTAAATCTTTCATAAATCTATTCTAAACAAGTAATCAATTATGATCGTCCTTATCGACTCCTGACTCCCACCCTCCCCGGCTGCTGCTTCCACGCCACCCGCTTACAGATGTACGTGTCTCTCCTGTTCTCTAGTGCCCGGCCACCATCACAGCGCGGTGGTCCACTGGTCTCGCTGGAGAGCTTTGCTCATCTTGCTGGTCGCCACTCTGGGCATGTCCGCCTGCGCGGACCTGGCCACGGAGCACATCAGCCCCATCTTGAACAACTCGGCAGTGTCTCAGGTGAGGAGGAGGCAGGGCCAGGGCTGGCGCAGGTGGGGGCCGCAGTGGGGCGATGGGATCCTTGGCGTGAAGACCTTATCTCCTTCTCCATGTCTCCCACCCCATCTAAGGAGGTGGTTTCTACCGGGGCCTTTTCGGTGGTGGCCCCCCAACCGTAGCTTGCTGTGTCCAGAGAGGCTCTCCTGGCCATCACAGGAGCATCTCTTAAGCCTCTCTGTTCTCCCAAGCCTTTCAATATGATTTTTAGTTTTTAGGATTATTTTGGTTCAATTTCTTTTTAAGGTTATGTGAGATGCCATTGGGGGAGTGTCTTCTCATGATAAATAACACTGCACAGTCCTATATACAGGTGAATAAATTCTGTTGGTTAAGTGGATGGCAGGGTTTTGAGGTTGGCTGTGGGCAGAAAAGGGGGGATATATGTTGGGAGCTTAGATTTGTTCTGCAGTGTTGCTGTTAAGCCTCTGAAGTTCTGATAACCGAACCACCAGTAACATACAATGCCTAGTAACTAGGTATTGCAACTTTAAAAGTGGAATATTTAAACATCCTATTCAAAGTTCTGGGGTGTTTATGTTTAGTCTTTTTATATACGGTAAAAAGGATTCTAAATTCCACACTTAAAATAGATTAGAATCTACCGTAAGTCTATTGTACTAATGCAGTTTTGCATGTACTCTGGAAGTATCTGGAAATAAAAGTGTTCAAAATGTTAAAAATGGGGGGGGGGGGGAGAAACGGTGTTGTCGTTGGGCCATTAGCATTGTTTTATGGGTCTTTAAGAATTTGATCAAGTCTTTGAACGATATATCAGTAACGCAAGGAGGTGTTTTTATTTTTTTAAGTACCGTACCTTTCGCTCTATAAGACGCACCAGACCACAAGACGCACCTAGTTTTTGGAGGAGGAAAACAAGAAAAAAAATATTCTGAATCTCAGAAGCCAGAACAGCAAGAGGGATCGCTGCGCAGCGAAAGCAGCGATCCCTCTTGCTGTTCTGGCTTCTGGGATAGCTGCGCAGCCTGCATTCGCTCCATAAGACGCACACACACTTCCCCTTACTTTTTAGGAGGGAAAAAGTGAGTCTTATAGAGCAAAAAAACAACAACGGTATTTCTTCATAGCCTCATGACATTCTCCCCTAAATTGCCACTTTCCCACACTTTCTGCTCCCTTGGTCTGGATTTTCTCTGAACCGGGTTAACTCAGAAAAGGAGAGGGGTGTGAGGAAATAATAATAATAACAATAATAGTAATAATAATAATAATAATGGTGCGAGGAAATAATAAATAAATAGGAACTTCGGTTGTCAAACATAATCCGTTCTGGAAGACTGTTTGACTTCCGAAACGTTTGACAGCTGAGGCGCAATAGACTGTCGGCAAACGCAATGGGGGAAATTGAGAAACGCGCCTCGGAAGCCATTTGAAAACAGAAGCAATTACTTCTGGGTTTTCGGGTTCCGAATCGTTTGGCTTCCGACACGCTAGAAAACCGTGGTTCCACTGTAATAATAATTTAGATGCCACCTATCTGACTGGGTTTCCCCAGCCACTCTGGGTGACTCCGAACAAATCCAAGCTGATCCTAGGAGGGGAAAGTCAGTGATTTGGAGGAGAACGTCATGAAGTGTTGACTATCCTACAACATGGATAGGCAAACTAAGGCCCGGGGGCTGGATCCGGCCCAATCGCCTTCTAAATCTGGCCTGCAGACGGTCCAGGAATCAGCGTGTTTTTACACGAGTAGAATGTGTGTTTTTGTTTTAAATGCATCTCTGGGTTATTTGTGGGGCATAGGAATTCGTTCATTATTTTTTTTCAAAATAAAGTCCGGCCCCCCACAAGGTCTGAGGGACAGTAGACCAGCCCCCTGCTGAAAAAGTTAGCTGACCGCTGATCTACACTAAACGACGGCGTGGGTTTGACTTCCGAGGCACGTTTGAAAATGGAAGCAATTACTTCCGGGTTTTTGGCGTTCGGGTTTCGAATCGTTTGGCTTCCGAGATGCTAGAAAACTGCAGTTCCACCAGGAGCCCGGCTCTGGCCAGGGAGGGTTGGATATAAATAAAATTTATTAATAATAATAATAATAATAATAATAATTAATTTATATGCCACCTATCTGCCTGGTTTCCCCAGCCACTCTGCGTGACTCCCAGCAAATCCAGGCTGATCCTAGGAGGGGAAAGTCATGAAGTGTTGACTAAACGACGGCGTGGGTGAACCCTATTTTAGTCCCGTTGTGTATATATATACAGTGGTACCTCAGGTTAAGTACTTAATTTGTTCCGGAGGTCTGTACTTAACCTGAAACTGTTCTTAACCTAAGGTACCACTTTAGCTAATGGGGCCGCCTGCTGCCGCCGCGCGATTTCTGTTTTCATCCTGAAGCAAAGTTCTTAACCTGAAGCACTATTTCTGGGTTAGCGGAGTCTGTAACCTGAAGCGTCTGTAACCTGAGGTACCACTGTATTGAAGCTCTGCACTGCTCGGAGTGAGGAGCTTATAAATCGGCTAAAGAACCAAATAACCAGGCCGCCTCTCCTGCCCTCAGCACTTCATTGGCGTGACCATCCTTGCCATGGTGCCAGAGCTCCCTGAGATCGTCAACGGGATCCAGTTTGCCCTGCAGAACAACCTCAGCCTGAGGTGAGTCCGTGGAAGCCTAGCTTGAAGGGTTTCCCAATAAATATTCCTTAAATATGCCCCCCTCCTGTGCCAAACCTCTTTAGACTGGGGTGCAGGTCGCAGCAGATGTGAAGAAGGAAAACCTTTTTTTCCAGCCCAATATATATAAATCTCAAAACAGTTTACAGCAATAAAAGCATGCAACAAAGACCATTTAAAAGGTTAAAAACGCCCATTTTCAGCTGAAACTACAACTCATTGGTACCGATAGAGCAGAAAACTTGGAGGCTGACAGTAGAGGGCGCTAAAGCCAATGGCACCATCTATGTCAGGCGTAGGCAAACTCGACCCTCCAGAGGTTTTGGGACTACAGTTCCCATCATCCCTGACCACTGGTCCTGTTAGCTAGGGATGATGGGAGTTGTAGTCCCAAAACATCTGGAGGGCCGAGTTTGCCTATGCCTGAATTTACCATTTTGGAAGGATGTAGTTGTCTTGAGTCGGCTCCCAGTGGAGCGGGAAAGCTTTCAGGAGGTATTTGAAAGCTGAATCTCCAGTGGCATAGAGTTCCACAGGACTGTTCCGACGACATCAGTTTTTTGTTGTCGAACGAGCTTTTGCCAACTTGGTGTGTGTGTGTGTGTGTGACCAGCAACACTCCTGCAGATGATCTCGCCGACCAAGCTAGGATAGGATAATGGTTCAGGTGATCCCTGAGGAACCGTGGAACCGTGTGGGGATTGTAAACTTCACCGACAGCCCCTCCTGCGTTGTGGCAGATGCCCTTGCCATCCTGACAGAGAGGGGCCTTTGGAACTCTGTGCTACAGGAGGCGATTTCTAACCGGGTAGCGGGAAGCAGCAAGGCGGTGGGGGTCCTTATGTATCCGGGGAGGGGAATTTTGACGGCTGCATTCACCTCCCCTCCCTCCTGTCTCTTTCTCTCTTCTAGCATTGAGATTGGGAGCTGCATCGCGGTCCAGGTCTGCATGCTCCAAATACCTATCCTAGTGCTTTTCACAGTCTTCTATGTAAGTCATGGGCTCCCCAACCACCTTGTATCATCATGTCATAGCGTTGAAAGGGACCCCCAAGCAGGGCCAGATTTAGGTTAATAATAATAATTATTATTATTTATACCCTGCCCATCTGGCTGGGTTTCCCCAGCCACTCTGAGCGGCTTCCAGCAAAGATTAAAAATACATTAAATGATGAGGCCCTCAGCTACTGAAGGTAATGGGGCCCTTTCTATGTCCAGCTGTCCTTTGTCAACAACAATTGGTCGCTGTTTTTTGTGTGGAATACCGTATTTTCGCACCATAGGACGCACATTTTCCCGCCTAAAAAGCCAGGGAAAATGTGTGTGCGTCCGATGGAACGAATGCAGGGGGGAGGCAGGCGGGAAAAGCCCCCAAGAGCCGCACACAAGCTCCGTGCGCTCTTGCGGGCTTTTCCACAGGAGGGAGAAGGGACTGACTGGCAGCATCAGTCCCTTCTCCCACCTCCCAGAAAAGCCAGGAGAAGCCGCGATCTCTTTAAAGGGGTTGCGCGGCTTCTGCGGGCTTTTGCGAGAGGTGAGGGAATCCCCCCACCTCCCAGGAAAGCCAGGAGAAGCGGTGCAGCCCTTTTAAAGTGCGCGTGGCTTCTGCCGGTTTTGCGGGAGGTGGGGTAATTCCCCCACCTCCCAGTAAAGCCAGAAAAGCCCTGTGCAGTGTCTCCCAGCAAGGAGAGGCAGCACAGGGCTAAAGGGGAAGCCAAAACAGCGAGCGGAATCCATCCCGTTCGCTGCCTTGGCTTGTTCCATAGCTGCACGCAACCCCTCCGGCAGGGAGAGGTTGTGCGCAGCCTGTACGCTGCTCTTTGGGGCTGGGGGGGGGGAAGATTTTTTTTCTTGAATTCCCCCCCTAAAAACTGGGTGCGCCCTATGGTCCGGTGCGCCCTATGGTGCGAAAAATACGGTATATGCTATATGGTAATTTATGGACCTAATAGGTATCTCAAGCCATTTGCACATGTTGCCATGCACCCAGTCCATGCAGAATGTAGGCACCCTGTATATAGAAAGGAGCAAACCAGGGCCTTTTCAACACTGGCCCCGACTTGGTGGAACGCTCTGCCTTATGAGACCAGGGCCCAGCAGGATCTGATTTCTTTCCGCAGGGCCTGTAGGACAGAGTTGTTCTGCCTGGCCTTTGGCTTGGAATCAACTTGATTCCCTCCCCCTCTTTCTTTTTTCCTTTCTCCTTCTGTGTTGGAACTCCTATTTGGGGACTTCCCTGGCTTTTTTCTGGCCCATGTAGGACCAGTCTGGATAGTTAGCCTTGGTGAAGACTTGACGTTTCCATCCCAAAAAAGTTTTTGATTTGCGTTTCTACTGAAATGAGGCTGCATTTTAATGTTTTAATGTTGTATTTTAATCTTGTTTTTAAGCTGTATTTCAATTAATTGTTTTTATATTTGGTGTTAGCTGCCCTGAGCCCGGTCTTAGCTGGGAAGGGCGGGGTATAAATAAAACATTATTATTATTATTATTATTATTATTATTATTATTATTTCCAGCCCACGGACTTCATCCTGGTTTTCAGTGACCTTCATGTCTATGCAAGCATGTTCAGCGTGGTCCTGATGAATTACATCTTTATGGACGGCAAGTGCGACTACTTCCAAGGTAAAGGTGGCTTTCGAGCTGCGAGTTCCAGTCCTGCCTGCTGGGGGGGCTACCCAGACCCAGAAGACCACCGTCTCTGAGCTAACTTGGGCTGTGTACTTGCTGGAACCTTTAAAGGGCATTCAAAACGTAATCTCCACCCCACCCGTCTCCGGGTGCTGGGAATTGTAGATGTAAGCAATCTAAGGGTGTGTTCACATCAGCAGCTTAAAACTCAGCGAAGTCATTTCAAGCCAGTTTTGCATTGAGTTTTCACCATCTGTGGGCGAAGTTTTTCGCCTTCCAAGGGATGCCTTCACCAATGCACAGGACCTTTTGGGTTTCCCCTGCCCGTGAACCTGTCATCTGCGCAGGTGTGTTCATCTGTGCATGCGCAGCGGCCGTCTCAAATGTTCACACAGTGCAAAGTGAAGTTTTCTAGTTAAGTTTTCTACTTAAGTTTTCTAGTTGGATTGAAGCTGGGGTTTTTTGGGGGTGTGGAATACATCCAACAGCAGGATTTGTTCAGAAACAGCACGGTCGGTATAGATTGTGGGTCGTGCATCATGTGTGCGGCTTTAAAAAAAAATCTAGCAGTGGGAGCACACTGGATGTTGTTGAATTTATTGCCTGCCCTTCAGCAGATCCTAAGTTACAAGAAAGTGCAATCTAGAATTAAAAACAGTTAAAATCATCTTGGGCTACATACTGGCTTATAGAAAATACAGTCGTACCTTGGATTTCAAACAGCTTAGTTCTCGAACATTTTGGCTCCCTGCAGCCACAAACCCGGAAGCGAGTGATCCGGTTTGCGAACTGTTTCTGGAAGCCGAACGTCCAACGGGGCTTCGTATTGGCTGCAGGAGCTCCCTGCAGCCAATCAGAAGCCGCGCTTTGGCTTCCAAATGTTTTGGAAGTCGAATTCCGTTCGACTTCCGAGGGACGGCTGTAGAATAGCTGGATGTGTGAATACTTTGAACAAGTTACGACGTTTAGCTGGCAGAGAATCAGAAGTCGTTTTTATCTTTTTCTAGTTTTCTCTTTTTGGATTGTATTTTTAAAATATTTACTTTTTTCTGGTGTATTATAAAAAAAAAAATACATACTTTGCCTTGGGTATGGATTTTTGATAAGTATCAGTAAGAAGAAAAAAGTAAAAGAAAACCCAAGGTGAGCCAAGTTTGTCTCCCAGTGAACCGGGACGGCCTTCAGATTGCCAAAAAAAGTTGTCTCATGCAAATGATGACTTGGTCTCACTGGTTGATGATCTCCGGCGAGCTAGGGACAAAGGTGAGAGCTGTTTCCTAGTTCTGCTGGATCTCTCAGCGGCGTTTGATACCATCGACCATAACATCCTTCTGGACCGTCTTGAGGGGCTGGGAGCTGGGGGCACTGTTATACAGTGGTTCCGCTCCTTCCTCCTGGGCCGTGTCCAGAAAGTGGTGGTGGGGGATGAGTGTTCAGACCTCTGGGCTCTCACTTTTGGGGTGCCTCAGGGTTCCGTCCTCTCCCCCATGCTTTTTAATATCTATATGAAGCTGCTGGGGGTTTGGGCTGGGTGTTCACCCTGTGGAACTCTGAGATAATTTATTGCTGAGAGAGATAAGGTCTGGCACGCTTCTGTTGCGGCAGACGTCTGTTGCGCAGCACGCATTCCAAAAGCTCTGAGCAAAAGCAGAGTCTCACAGCGGTCAGAAATAAAGCCTTCTATCTTCTGTGCGTCGGTGTGCATAAATCAAGCCCTCGCGCAGAGTTACTAAAACTAAAAGCACTTTATTTGCAGCTCAAACTATCCTCACAGGAACGCCCTCCCTTCAGATGTGAAGGAAATAAGCAGCTATCCTATCTTTAAAAGACAACTGAAGGCAGCCCTGTTTAGGGAAGTTTTTAATATTTAATGCTGTATTGTTTTTAACACTCGATTGGGAGCTGCCCAGAGTGGCTGGGGAAACTCAGCCAGATGGGCGGGGTATGAATAATAAATTATTATTATTATTATTATTATTATTATTATTATTATTATTGGACCCGCCAATCTTTCCATGCTGATCTGCTCTCTCCCCCCGCAGGCACCGTGCTGGTGATGGTTTACTTCATCCTCCTCGCAGTATACTTTTTTGCTCCTTCTCCCGCCGGGTGCTGATGCCTCACACCGCGCTGGACCCCATCCTCCCGCCGCGGAATGTGCCTTTCGCTCAGGGACTTTAAAAACCGCCGCCACTACCAAGGAAGGTTTCCTGCTGCGTCTTGTCAAGGTGGTGGTGGTGGGAAGCCTCTCTCAGATTCCTGCCAGCTTCAAAGCTTGTTCCCCGACACGTTGGGTGTTTTTAAATTGAAGAGGCTGAGCTGGGAACGGCAGAAGGATGTTGTTGGAAGTTGGATGGACGGGAGCAAGCAAGCAAGCTCCTTGCTCCTTTCCACGCTCCAAAAAACTGTCCGAGATTCCCGACAGCTCCGACGTCTGCTGTTTTCTCGAAGGCTCTCGCTGTGTTCGTGACTTTCTGGGGTTCTGTTTGCTCAAAACGGCTAGCTACCTCGTGTCCCGGTGGCGGTGGTCAAGGTGGTGATGGCAGGGTGCTCCCAACCAAAGCTGCCTCTGGCCTTGACTCCAAGCACAATAAAAGATGCCTCTTCTGAATACGTCTCCCAGTTGGCCCTTGAACTTCTTTTCAGTAGCTCTGAGTCGCCGTCTTATCTCAATAGGGAGGCTGTGTGGTCATGAAATACCGTATTTTTCGCTCCATAAGACGCACTTTTTTCCTCCTAAAAAGTAAGGGGAAATGTCTGTGTGTCTTATGGAGCGAATGCGTGGTCCCTGGAGCCAAATTGCCCAGGGGCGAAAAGCAGATTGTGCTTTCTTTTTTTTCCTTTTTTTTTAAGAGGGAAGGGGGTGTTGAAACAAAGCCGCTGAGCAGCTGATCGGCAAGCGATCGGGAGGGGGATAAGGGACTCTAGCGATAAAGGAGGCTGCCTGGGAGGGAAGAGGTAAAGACAGCGAACTTGCAAGGAGAGGAGACAGGAATACTAAAACAAGCAATGAGGAGAGAAATTAGAAGAAAAGGAGGAGCAAAAATTTGCTCCAGCTAAGGAAAAGACACTAAGGCAAACAAGAGGGAAGGGAGTGTTGAAAGGAAGCAGCTGATCGGCAAGTGATTGGGAGGGAGATAAGGGACGCAATAAAGGAGGCTGCCTGGGAGGGGGGAGGTAAAAGCCAAGGATCCTCAGGATTTTTGCATTGGGTCACCCCAAATTCTCCATCAGATCACATGGCATGTCCATGGCTACAGCCGGCCCCCCAAAAACACACATCCACTGTTTCGTGGGGCCGCAATGGCGCAAAAACGTGGTTACAAAGCACAGATCCACTTGGATCCTCAGGATTTTTGCATTGGGCTACCCCAAACTCACCGTCAAATCACATGTCTGTGGCCACAGCATGAACCACAAAAATCATACATCCACTGTTTCATTCAGAATATTTTTTCCTTGTTTTCCTCCTCTAAAAACTAGGTGCGTCTTATGGTCAGGTGCGTCTTTTGGAGTGAAAAGGTCTTGTGATACCTTTTCCCCCCTGGGCTGGTCCACCCAACCTCTGAGAGAGGGAAAAAGTTGTGTGGTGTGGTGGTTTTTTTTTGGGGGGGGTGTTTTGTGAATGATCATGGAAAGTCTAGTGCAGTTTCCAAAACTTAATACAGGGCCATCAGAAACAACCACTGGGCAGCCGCTTTGTTCATCAATCTCGTCCGCCGTTACTTGACATTGGCTTGCAGGATTTCGGACATTTGCAGCCCTAACTGCATATGAGTTTGTTTTTTACCGTATTGGCCCGAATATAAGCCACACTTCTTTTTTCCAAATTCCGACCGTGAGAAGTTATAAGTGCGGCTTAAATTTACAACCTTACAAAAATTGGCTTTTACAGTATCACTGCTGAAACAGACATACGGTAAAATGGAACGGGTGTGAGTGCCTGCAGAATTTTAAGGGGGTGGCTTATATTCGGGTGTTGTCTCCCACCCCCCTTGAATTTTAAAGGTGCGGGTTATGTGTGGGTGCAGCTTATATTCGGGCCAATACGGTATTTGTTTTATTTATATCCCTCTTTCCTCCCCAAGGAGCCCAATGTAGCAAACGGATTTGCAATATAACAACAGAAAAGAAAGCGAAAACATTTTGAAATGGATTAAAGCATTCTAGAAGCTGTTAAAAGAGCATTATCCCATTCAGTGATCTCAGGGTGGCCAGGAAATGTATTTTTCAGAGACCCAATTGCCTGGCTAAACAGGAATGTGTTCAAACTCCTCCTAAATGTTAGTAATGATGGAGACAGGCACGTCTCTCCGGATCTGAATGACTGGCTTACGTTACTTGTTAGCGGCTCCCAATGGGTGGTTCGTGGACCACCTGGGGGTCTGCGTAACCCACCCAGGAGGTCTGTGACACATACTCATCAGCTGTCCCAGACTTCACATTTCGGGGGGCTGTGCTCCCACAAAGGTCACATGACTGGTATCGGAGTGCGGCGCTGAAGATGTGCACCCCATTTTTGTGCTGGGACAAGTTGGAGGGTACGGTGGCACCGTTCGCAAGACGAAAACTGCCACAGAAGTGTCAATGTTCTCAAAAGTAGGGGATCTACGGCTTGGCTTTTGAAAAATGGGGGGTCCACAGTACTTAAGAGCATATATTCATCAGAATTCCATCTGTGGGTCCTGCCAGGAAGGTAAGACAGTAAAATAAAATAAAAAACCTTTTCCCTGCCACTGGGTTAGATTTCCTCTAGCTAGGGTTTCTCTCTCTGCACCTGGGGAAGTACAGATTGAAAGCCATGCTGCTTCTCAGCTGAGCTTGCATCCTGCATGTCTAAATGACGCCAGAACACAGCCATTTGATAGAGGCAGTAGAGTCACAGGAAAACTTCCTGCCCCTTCAGGCAGGAAGAAGGGGGTTCCACACTTGACTACTCCAGCATAAAGAACACAAACAGCAAAGCAAAGGTATGTGCTATTTGCCTTGATCACAGAGGACTATTCAAACATGTCAGGCAGGGTTTGGAAAACCAGTGGCTATCCAGACATCGCTGGAACCAATCTCTCATAAATCCTAGGCAGCGTGATCATGAAGGATGGAACCGTTATCCAGCTGTTACGCTGTTTTGTTTTCATTATTTACTTGCTTTTGCCCTATATTTTATTCTCTGAACCACCCTGAGATCTTATGATGGGAGGACAGTATATAAATTTAATAAATAGATAACAGAGCCCCACGCCACTCAGGAACGCATGGTACGGGCATGATTCTGTTGCTTCCATGAACCAGGCCTCAGGTGTGCTTCAAGAAGAGGCAATGCAAGCCACAGGAGGGGTGAATGACTGCAGATACAAAAGACGAAGGCAGAGGGACATGAGAATATGGACTGAGCTCACCTGCTGTCAGGGAACTGCCATCGGAAGGAAGGGAGGTGAAAGGGCTCACACAGGTTGGGAGAGACTCAGCAGCTGAAGAGGGAACCAGTAGGGGGAGAGGAGCTGAGCTGAGGGAAAATGAGCTGGAGGGATGGCTCAGAGACACTTCCAGCGAAAACAGTGGGGAGGTTTCAGGACCTCCTGTAGGGACACCCACTCCTCGCCGGAAACTGACACGCAGAGAGTCCAGAAGACGTGTTTCCGTTAAGGAGCTTTTATGTTGGAAGCGATTCCAAAGCAACCACTGTCGGAATCTGCTAGTGACTAGAGGAGCCATGTCTGAGGGGCTCCGTCACAGACAGAGGTTTGTGGACTTGAACAAACTCTGAGGGGATACGATTTTACGCACAAGCAGCTCATCATCCCATCACAGCATTCCGACAGTCTTTGAAAGCAGCTTGTGCAGGAGAAGGCATCATGAGCAACCCAGCCGGAACCGGAGAAGCAGGAGCTGGAGCGGGTCCAAGCCTGGAAGAAAGGTACCGGGTGTTGGAGGTCCAGCTAGCGCTGCAGACGGCGAGGCTTGAGGAGAGGAGGGCTCAGGATGCAGACAAAAGGGGAAAGCCACCCAGCTCGCCAGAAAGGTACCAGGATTGGTGCAGAAGTTTGGGGGGGAGCCCAAAGACTATCATGGCTTTCGGACAGAGATGCAATATGCCCTCAATCTGCAGTTTGATGAATTCCTGACGAGGAATCACGAGTGGCTTTCGTGATTGAGCATCTTGAAAAGGGGGCGAGAGACTGGGTTAGACCCCTGATGGCAGCGAATAGTGACGTCCTAAAGGACACGATGAAGTTCTTTCGCGCCATGGATCTGATGTTTTCCAGCGATATTGAACAGGGAGTGGTGCGCAGACAGTTAATGGCTTGCAAACAGGGGAGCCGATCTGTCCGTGAGTACTGGACTGAGTTCACCATGCTGGTTCACAGATTGGGGTGGGACTTATCGGCGGAACCCATTCAAATGCTCTTTGAAGAAGGGCTTTCTTCGGCTGTGAAAGACGAACTTTCCCGGGCGCCCAGGGCGGAGTCTATGGACCAGCTGACCAAATCAGCGCTGACCATAGGAGCGCGCCAGGAGGCGAGAGCATTGGAGAGGCGGGAAGGGAAAGGGGAACGTTGGAAGGAGTTCCGCATTCCAGACATTCCAGAGCCAACTTTCCCGCCGGCAGAGCCGATGGAAATCGGAACAGCGCGCGCGCGCAGTTTCAAAGCCCAGTGAGGGGGGAAAGAAGGAGGGAAAAGGCGCCCGGAAATGCTATCTCTGCCAACAGCCAGGTCACTTTGCCAGAGTCTGCCCCCAGAGGAAGGAATGGCAAGGGATGGTAGGAGCTGTGGAGGGAAGAGAGGAAAAAATACCGGAGCAAGTAAAAGCCAACGCCTGGCTGCCACTGTCGGGGCACAGCAGCCAGGCCAAAGAGCAGTGAGAGTGCCCACGCCAGAACCTCCTAAACCCGCCCTAGTGATAGAAGTGACGCTAGAGCTGCCAAACGGACACCCTCTAAAGATAAAGGCGCTGTTGGACTCAGGCAGCTCCTGCAATTTCATGAGCAAAGAGTTTGCAGCTGAACACCAGATACAGACGATCCTTTAAGCAACCCCTGCAGGTGACCACGATCGATGGCAGGGAGCTGTTGGGAGGAGAAGTCAGCTTGCAGACCGTCCCAATGATAATGAAGGTAGCAAGGCACACCGAACTGATAGCGTTTAATGTGGCCACCTTGGGAGGAGCTCCCATTATATTGGGGATGAGCTGGCTAGCGTTACATGATCCGCTGGTGGGCTGGCATCAGAGAGTGGTTTCTTTTGGTTCAGCACATTGCTTAGAACACTGCAAATGAGGGAAAGGGTTTGGCAGGGGCCCAAGCCACCCTAGCAGGGACTGAAGTAACGGAGAACGTGAAGGTACCACGACAATATGCAGATCTCCGCGACGTCTTCAGCGAAAGGGAAGCTGACCAACTACCCCCGCATAGACCCTTTGACTGTCAAATCAATTTACTCCCTGGGGCACAGCTCCCTGTAGGCAAGCTGTACGCCATGTCAGACAGAGAGATGCAGGAGCTAAGAGAGTTCATTGACAAGAACCTGAAGAGAGGGTTCATCAGAGAGTCCAGGGCGGTGGGGGCAGCCCAGTGTTTTTTGTGGATAAAAACACGAACAAGCCGAGGCTGGTGTGTGACTTCAGGGCCTTAAATGCAGTGTCAGAACCAGTGGCCTTCCCTATGCCCAGGATTGACGACATTTTGACAAGGGTGCGGAAGGGAAAGATTTTCACAAAGCTGGACCTAAGGGGGGCGTACAACCTGATACGAATAAGGAAGGGTGATGAATGGAAAACCACCATGTTCACCCCTTTAGGGGCATTTGAATATTTGGTTATGCCCTTCGGCCTCCAAGCAGGCTCCGCATGCTTTCAATCATTTATGAACCACGTCCTGGGGCCTTTGCTTTACAAGAATTGTGTGGCCTTCTTAGACGACGTGTTGGTGTATTCTGAGAATGAGGAGCAGCATGTGAGAGACGTCAGAGAAGTGTTGAGCAGGCTGCAAGCCAACCAGCTGTGGGTGAAACTGGAGAAGTGTCAGTTTCATACCAAGGAGGTGGAATTCCTGGGGTATCGCCTGTCAGACAAGGGATTGGCCATGGATCCCGGCAAGGTCCAGGCGGTGCTGG